TCCAGCCGCTTGGCAGCCGAGTGTCTGCGTGGTGGTACAGGCTTGATAGTGTGCGTTATCGCCAAGGAGATTGGACGCAGTTTGTCGCGGATGTTCTCCTGCCCAGAGAATTTAAAAAAAAAAGATGAATGCACAACAACAGATTGGCACAAAGAGTTTGTTTGTGGTACATAATATTATGAATATACGTATACATTTTGTCTTTTTATGATTGGCAGCTGTTTCCAGATGCAATAAACAAGTCTCCAAATAGAAATACCAGGGAGCTGTGATGGATGCGACTGTTGGTTATAAAATGTATTCATCTATTTACTTTCTTTCTTTGTAGATTCAGTAGCCAGGCTACTTACTGTTTCTTAAATCAGTTGTCTGCAGTATAATTAAAATCTATACACATAGTGTACACACAGTAGTACATATCAATATATATCAATACAACTATTGCATTATTCAATCGTTTGCTACAAGAGTAAGATAAAAATAAGAAAAACATGTCCAACAGTAATTGTCTATAAGCTCCAGTTACTGACATGGAGCTGGAACGTAGCAGTGGTGCACACGGGGTGACGCTGCCGGTGCAGCTCCACTTCTTCTTTCTGCGTATACTCCGGCACCAGGGAACTGCGGCCCAGGAAGTTAACGCGGTGCGGGAGGCCCAACTTCCTGCGCTCCGTGTTTGGTCTACTCGCCATGACGCACTGACTCCTCGGACGTCATGAATAGCTCACAGCTTTGATTGCACCCACAGTGAGTCGAATAAGGGAAAGCGTTGATACATGAAGGCGTTCGTGTGTTGGCTATGGGGAAAGCCTGCGAGGCATCATTCTGGACTACAAATCCCAGAAGTGCTGGTGTGTGTGTGTGTGTGTGTGTGTGTGCTGTAAACTAATCTGCACAATAATAGGATGATCTGATAACTGGATTAATTCGCCTTTCCTATTCCACTGCACATGTGAATGTTATTTCCATGTACATGCTGTATGGTGCCATTAGTGAATTGTTACCTCACTATATCGGAAAGTAAAGCTTATACTTTTGACTTAATCATGCAGCAAAGTCATGCCTGTAGGATTAGCCTGCACTTATTTACCTATATCCCGACTTTACTGTGCCAGTCCCACTCCTGATATCCCCTGCAGCCCCTTTGTCCCCGACCTTCTCCATTCTGCATTACGGTGCACCCTTCCATGCAAATCCATTTACTTTAAGCCCATGTAATTCTCTGACCAACACATGCTTAAGAGCAGTGCTGCAATTGCAGGATATGGTCTGGCCTTTAAGGTTGCCGCTAACAGCCGAGGGCTTAGATTATAAAGCACAAGCCCTTTGCGTTCTCTGGTCTGGTTACTTTTAAAGAAATGGGAGAAATTGCAGCAAAAGCTGTAAGTGCATGAAGTGCTCACAGTCTGCCTTCTGCAGGTCTGTCGACAGCAGTCATGCAACCTTAGGTCAGTCTCCCCTTTTGGAATTGGCGAGCGTGCCCTTTATTTAAACAATTTTGTCCACAAACATGGGGGAAGACTGACAGAGTCACATACTTTGAGAGATCCCAGAACAGAATGTGCCTCCATCAGTCCAAGAGTGTCAGGCTGGACTTTGCCAAGCTATGTTACCTCATCCTCTTACCTCCTGTTCTGTTCTCTGAGCCGGGGCAGCACCTGCTTTCACTGCCTCTGTTGCTGCACCGCTTTCCGGAGTAAACATGTCTGCTCCTATATTCGTTCTATGTGAGACGTTTCTAGGTATCTGGATGTGTGTTTGTGCGGACACACACAAGCTTACATGAGTGCACGTGCATGTGTGCACACATCTGTGGGATTCATTATTCCACAAGCAGAGTTCACAGATGGAAAATATGATTCAGGGTGATGATGCCTCGTTGACTCAGCAGGGAGACGACCAAACAGGGAGAGCGATGGAGACAGAAAGAGATGGAAATCCTACAGGGAGTAGATGTTTTTGAATTCCATCAGCCTGCTCATCTTTACCTCATGATCTTCTGCAGGTAGAAGAAAAAACAAACAAACACATACAGTACATACACACAGACCTACACACACACACACACACACACACACACACACACACACACACACTCAAGCAAATACCTAACCACATTAGAACTTTGTACAGAACTAACCGAGCTGTCTGCATGTTCTTTGCTTAGACTTTCCTCAGAACAACCTCTTTCCAACCCATTTTTTGGGGGTAACTGGGAAGGCTGTGCTGATTAGCCTCAGTCTGGGGAGAAGGACACAAGGTGACAAGGACACAGGTAAGTAAACAAGGAGACAGACATTCCATCAGAGCCCCTGTGGGGCTGCAGCGCGGACGAGACAACCAGCCGGGATTTTTAATTGTTGAGAAAGACTGAACAGCGAGAGTACGCAGGTATGCAAAGTTAATTCTTTCTTTTTCTTCTTCCTAATATCTTTATCATAACTTTCTAATATCCTTGGCTGCAGTCCGGCTGGTATTGTGCAGTCGTGTAGCAGTGTAATATTTCATTGTGATTGTGTGTGTGATTTATGTGGGAACAGGAATGAGTCCACTGAGAGGTTTCCCCTGTTTTTTGATACTTCTGTCTGCGGCAGATGTTTGCGGAGGTACCACACACGCGCACCGTATGAAATGCACTGAAATATATGCACAGATTACGTTTCCTCACCTATTTTTCTACATTGTTAACTTCAGTGTAAAACCTTCCACCCACTTTGCACAATCCTTTTGCCTCTCCAACAGTTGTGGGTGGCGCAAAAGTTGACAATGTATCGTCCGAAGTCTGTCATCATCCGTGTGAGGAGCTGGTGGACTTACTCACTGAGATCCAAGGCCTGCGCATTGTGACCGGCAACCTGCTTGAAGACCTGGACAGAGTAGTAAGACACATACATGCACATCCATCATCAGCATGTTGGCCTTTTTTAGAATGGATTTACTTCCACGATGCTACGTTTATTTTGATATGGCATGTCCAGGAAATCTTAATTGAGCTAAAAAGCAAAGTTGTGCAAAATGTATTTTATTTTAAGAACATTTGAAACACATGAAAGTGTCCAGGTGATGGTGTAACGTTTAACATTTTATGATCAGTAAAATCTTATAAAGGATGTTGGACTCAATTTTTGTGATTTAATTGACAATGACAGAAAGCCCATTCCAAGTCTACCAGTGCGTGCAATGTGCTTTAAATTGTATTTACCGTGGTTTAGTTTCATGGGTTCCTCCTCTTCCAGAGCAAATGGAACAAACAGCAACATCCCTTTTTTATGGCAGGAAGCCCTGTGGTTTCTGGTGAAGGTCCTGGTGATTTTTGAAGGGAAAAAACATGCAGAAAGAATACCATCAGATATAACATGTTAGCTGCTGGCCAACTCAGCTGCCAATCTTACTTGCATATAACAGACGTCTGGGTACTAATAAATGTCAAATCTTGATAAACCAAATGCCACATTGTGAACAAACCAGCTGCAACACCATATTTGGCCATGGGTATAAAGTGTGTATGTGTTCCCCATAAGGACTGGCATTGGGTGTTTCCAGGACTACATATACCATCATCACACATGGACTCACAATGTGAAAACAAAATATAGAAGCCTTAAAACGTAGTTCTGACAAAGGTTTTATGTTTTCGTCAGTCAAAAGAAAACGAAGAGATGCGGACATCTTTGTCGGAGCTGGACAATAATAGCAGCAACAACAATAAAAACAGGTCGCACAACAGGAGCAGCATCAACGGCAACGTCAGCAGCAGCCGCGGCAGCACCGGCAGCAACAATGGCAGCAGCAATGGCAACGACAATGGAAACAGCAGCAATAGTGGCGACAGCAGCGGGAATGGAAACGGTAGCGGCAATGGAAACGGCAGCGGCAATGGCAGCGGTAGCAGCAACGGCAGTGGTGGCAGCAACGACAGCAGCAGCAGCGGGAATGGAAACGGTAGCGGCAATGGCAGCGGTAGCAGCAACGACAGTGGTGGCAGCAACGGCAGCAGCAGCAACGGGAATGGAAACGGTAGCGGCAATGGAAACGGCAGCGGCAATGGCAGCGGTAGCAGCAACGGCAGTAGTGGCAGCAACGGCAGTGGTGGCAGCAACGGCAGCAGCAGCGGCAGCGGCAACGGCAGCGGCAATGGCAACGGTCCTGGTAGCAGCTCGGATGTCAATGATGTTGACAGAGACAGAGAGGTCTGGTGCATGCAGGATGGACGGGTGTACGAGCACGGGGAGGACTGGGAGGTTGACAGCTGCACCTGGTGTGCTTGCCAGGTCAGTGTTGAACAACAGTTACATACAGATGTTTGTTTCACATATTTAAAAACACACTCTTTGGTTGTATACTACTGTTGCAGTGCTCTAAAAATGTAACATTGGACTATGGAAACCCATAACATGTCTCAAGGTTTGACTTTTACAGTCAAATCAACGTTAAAAAGAATATTGATGAGAAGATTGATCCCACCTTCCAGAACAGTATCAGATCTAACTCTTGGCAGGAAAGCGAATAATCATATTTTCCACATTTACTTTTAAATTTACTAACCGTATGGGGAGATACTTACCCTAAGTCTCACTCCCAATGTGGTTCCATTTATATACAGTGCTGCCTTTGTAAGTCTTCGATATTTCATGCTTACTTTATTCTCCTCTCGGTTTCATGTCTGTTTCTCTTCATAGAACATCATTAATTGTGTAAAAAATGGATGAGAGAGTAGCTAAACTTATGAGCAATGACAGCGTACCATTCATCTCTAATCTGCAGGGACATGGCATTTAGCGAAACATTTGGCTCAAAATGCTGAACATACCTTATGTGTGCGTATATCTTTCTCACATTGAGTAGGACGGAAAGGTGGTCTGTCAGCAGGTGGCTTGTCCTCCTGTAGCCTGCATCTATCCATCCTTCATCGATGGAGAGTGCTGTCCTCTCTGCCGTGGTGAGTGTTGCCAATCATGATTTAGAGCTGAAAACCTGTGTAAAGATAAAGGTAAACTTTTTACTAAAGTATACCAAAAATGCATATGTGTACATGATTTTAAAGACAATGAGAACGGGTGGTCCCCGTGGTCTGAGTGGACCCACTGTTCAGTCACCTGTGGACGCGGAGGTCAGCAGAGGGGCCGATCCTGCAACGGCATCAAGCCAGCCTGTGCTGGCCCGTCGGTCCAAACCCGCAGCTGCATGCCGCTGAAGTGTGACCGCAAGGGTAGGACATCACTCTGCGTGCGTCATCTGTCTCACGTCTTCCGTGTTATTTTATTTTTTTTGTGATTGATTGGCAAATCCGAGAGAACAAATTGAAAATTCCACAAAATAGCACAAAAGTATGTATGGTGAGATAAATGGATTTTAGAGATCGGAATCATAATTGGAAACACATTGTCGTATACACAGTGTGGGGCCGTGGCGGTCGTCTGTGCTGAATTCTGGTCAGATACTTTTCCAGGAACCTTTCACAATCTTTCAGTGCTTGTTTTATATCCAGCGCAATCTGACGGGAACTGGGGCCTTTGGTCTCCTTTGGTCCGCGTGCACAACCACATGTGGTGATGGCAGAATCGCACGGCTTCGTCTCTGCAGCAACCCTCCACCACAGAAGGGGGGCAGAGGGTGCGTGGGCGGCGCCAGGGAGACTCAGATATGCAACAACACACTGTGCCCCGGTGAGGTCACGCGTGCACATACACACTGCGCTGTAGTATAGCTAAAGGTTAAACAACGTGCTTGTGCTCAGTCGCAGGCGGCTGGACCGGCTGGACCGAGTGGTCACTGTGCTCGGAGTCCTGTGGCGGAGGTCTTAAGAGTCGACAGCGGGAGTGTTTGAGCCCCGCCCCTCAGCACGGTGGAAAGCCTTGTGCCGGAGATGCTGTGGACTATGAAGCATGTAACAAACAACCATGTCCCATAGGTAAGCAGAACCCCCGTCCACAATCCTCAGGCTGTTGCTAACTGTGTCAACAGATATTGTCCATTAAGTAGGCTAAGCCTCACATAAATATTGACAATATCCTTATTTTATTGGATGATTCATATTTTCAAACAACAATGGATTAAAACAATAATATCCCACAGCAACTATTTTGCCTTTATTCACTTATGGATGGAACAGACAAATACTTAAAATACGAAATTTGATCTCGGACTGTTTGCCTTGTCACTCTCACACTGCGCACTGATGACCTTTATATTGACATTGGTGGGTTTCCAGACACATGTTTGATCTCAAATCCATGTTTTCCTGGAGTGGAGTGCACATCCCTCAGCGACGGATCATGGGAGTGTGGAAGTTGCCCGTTGGGATTACATGGAAACGGCACTCACTGTGAAGATGAGAATGAGGTGAGCTCTTAGCATCCTTGGCCTAGAGTTGCAATACAATAGGCCCTGTGACAAGTAGGATTGTAACTTGGCATGGAGCGATATCAAAATGTCATGTGATTATCCTGACTATATTCTAACTGTCTAACTAAAATGGCAATAAAACATACTTTGATCGCTATATTTTACTCTGAACATCCTTTTTAGTGAAAAAAACATGATCATGAAAAATAATTTTTCCACTCTATTATGCTAGCAAACTAAATAGATTTTTAAAGTTGTGATGGTCAGAAACTCCCGTAAATCACTGATAAAATTTGACAACATCCATTCCCAAGTTGTACAGGTATTCTCAATCAGGTTTGCACATGATGCAAATTGTAAAAACTATGAGGATTCAACCGCTAGCCTGTACCTGGAGTCACTGGATTATAAGCAGACGTAGTGTCCATCTCATAAGTAGTCCGATGGTGTGCACATCAGCTGTCACAACTGTGTATTTACTGTTCTTGTTTGACATGCTGAGTGTGGTTAATCCTTCTATCTCTGCAGTGTGAAGTGGAGAGTGTGTGTGTCACACAGTGTGTAAACACAGACCCCGGCTTCCACTGTCTCCCCTGTCCTCCTCGCTACAAAGGCACCGAGCCGTATGGTCTCGGACTGAAAGAGGCCCGGAAAACCAGGCAGGCACGTGTTACCGCTCTTACAATATACTTTTTCTTTTGTATGACGTTTTGTTCTCATTGCGTTCCCCGATGCTTGTTTTTGTGGTAGGTGTGCGAGCCATACAATCCTTGCAAAGACAACACACACACCTGCCACAGGTATGCTCAGTGTGTATACCTGGGTCTGGCGTCAGAGGTTCTCTTCAGGTGCGTGTGCGCTGTCGGGTTCGCCGGCGACGGCTTCCTGTGTGGCGAAGACTCTGATCTGGACGGCTGGCCCAACGCCAGATTAACCTGCAAGCAGAATGCAACCTATCACTGTCAAAAGGTTGAATAATAACCTAATCACCTTGATTGGCTGGACGTTTTTTCATTGGATGAGATTTCACTGAGCTGAGTTGTGACTGCAGGACAACTGCCCCACGCTACCAAACTCGGGACAGGAGGACCTGGACAAGGACGGACAAGGGGACGCCTGTGACCCTGACGACGACAACGACGACGTCATAGATGAGAGAGTGAGACTGTGGTTTGACGTGGTGTAACTTGTAGAATATAGAGACTGAAAAACATCAAATATTCACATCCCTTGTGTGTGTGTGCCTGTGCGTGTATGTATGAAATAATGTGTTTGGCTCAGGACAATTGCCCGCTGGTGTACAACCCTCGGCAGTTTGACTCCGACAGAGACGGGGTCGGGGACGTCTGCGATAACTGTCCGTTTGATAGCAACCCGCTGCAGGCAGACACGGACGACAATGGCGAGGGAGACGCCTGCAGCATCGATATTGACGGAGATGGTAGGAGAACCTCGAGGCCTCGAACATACTATAAGACGTCTACAACCATGTCGGGTGGCTCAACTAATTCAATTCAATTCAACTGTATTTTAGATGGGTCAATGTAAAAAAAATGAATGACTCTGGAGGTTTAGATACAATAAGATGACATCGACACAGTGTTATAATTAGTGCAATTACCATGCCCACAGTGAATAAAAGACCCCCCCCCCTCCCTCCACTCCAAAATAGGAAAACATTGTGTGTTATATTCTCAGTTAAGGCCAGTAGTATTTCACGTTTCATTTAATTCATCTTCATTCATCAATCAGTTGTTTTTCTTTCCTCTTTCCATGGTAAACCAAAGTATATTGTATTATCCATCTGTTAGAGATGTGTGTGTGTGTCTTTCTCCAGAGGTTCTGAATGACCGGGATAACTGTCCCTCAGTCTACAACACCGACCAGAGGGACACAGACTTGGATGGTGTTGGAGACCAGTGTGACAACTGTCCCCTTCTGCACAACCCGCTTCAGGTTCCTAAAACACACACACATATCTGCGGATAAAAAATACTTTTGTATTTTGTATTGATGGTGCCGCGATGCCTCCCAAAACATCTGGAATGGGGTGCACATCTTACCTCAAGGATCCAACAAATCCATCTTAATAATTGATTTGTGGAACTTACAATAAATAAACACATAGAAAGGGCTTCTTGGAGGTCTGTGCAGGGAGTGGTTGTGTGGGTGGAGGTAATCTTGTAATGTATCACTGTTCAAACACATGTTGGGTGTGTCTGCAGCTCGACTCTGACAGTGACTTGGTGGGGGACATGTGTGACGACAACGAGGACATTGATGAGGACGGGCACCAAAATTCCCTGGACAGTTGTCCCTACATCGCCAATAGCAACCAGGCCGACCACGACAAGGACGGGAAAGGAGACGTCTGTGACCACGACGACGATAACGACGGTATCCCAGACGACCGGGACAACTGCAGACTGGTGCCTAACAGGGACCAGCTGGACTCTGATGGTGACAGTTTATACTTTCTCTTCGAAATTTTAGGCGGCACGTAGAACAAACAAAAGCATCTAAAAATGTCTCAGTACAATTTCGCTACAGATGTGATCATGATGAGGATGTGAGCAAATGCTGATACATTTGCTATCACATTGGAAAGATATTTTAAACGATTTGCCATTAATGGATTTTGCAGCCAGGCAGTAAAATAAGTCCTGTATGAATCCAGCGATCTAGGTCATGTTACTGTTGGACATCAACAGAAACAGGTTATGGCTCTCAGGCGTGTGATTAATCATGTATAAAAGATCATTTAATCTATCGACCGTCATACAGGAGTTTGTCACGTTAGCACATTAACCCTTCCAGTCCTTTGTTCCTCCTTTTTTGACAAAATCCATCCACTTCATTACACCTTTAAATCCTCTCTCTTGCAGGTGATGGGATTGGAGATGCATGCTTTGACGATTTTGACAATGACAGTATTCCAGATGCACTGGATCCATGTCCACTGAACCAGGATATCGGCTCCACGGACTTCAGGAAGTTCCAGGTTGTTTTGTTGGACCCTAAAGGCACCACGCAGTCAGACCCTCTGTGGGTGATCCGCAGCCAAGGCACCGAGCTGGTGCAGACGGCCAACTCCGACCCCGGCATCGCCTTGGGTGAGATTAACTATCAAAGAGGACACTTAACTTAAAGTATTCTATATTAATACCAATATCCAACAGGGTATGACAAGTTCAACGCACTGGACTTCAGTGTGACGTTTTATGTGAATACCAACCGAGATGACGACTACGCAGGCATTGTGTTCGCCTACCAGTCCAGTCGGCGCTTCTATGTCGTCATGTGGAAACAGGTGACGTTCGAATGCAGACTTTTACATTGATGATGAGTTGTTAAAGGTTCATGAAGGGAAAGGTTACCAAGTTTGAGCTTGGTCTGTTGCCCAATGTTATTTGTTGTCAGTGAACAACAAAATACTTTTCACTGTTGACCCACGCAGTGAAAAGTATTTTGCAAAAAGCAAGTCTCAACAATAACCTGGCGAATAGTTCAGAGTTGGCAAAACTGGCATTAACACAAGAAATTGCCTTTGGTTTGGAGTAAAGGAATGCGTATTAGAGGGCAAAGTATGGGTACTACTAGGGATACATTGTTAATGAGGTTGAAGTGAAGCACATCATAAAAACACTCTTTGTCTTATTATTAATAAGTTGCTCGTAAATAGGATAATTGATAGATACTTAATGTTTTATTATTGAAATTTATATTGTTTTTTTTGTTATTTATTTTAGTATTTTGCTGATAAATGATGATAAAAATGTGACAATATTTATAATTATAAATACAGTTCAAGAACAACTCTCATCTCGGCTTCACAACTGGTGATTGGAATTTAAAGTAAATGATCATTTAATTAAGCTTTCAAATATCTTGGACCAAAGTTTATTTAATACTTCTCTTCTATGTTCTAACTTCTCACCAGCAGAAAGGTGCGTGAAATGAAAACACTGTGGAGTGTTTTAACGTGTGCGCTGACATTCCCAAGCTGCCTACACACGTAAAATTCAACCCGCACTCACTGATATCCCCCATATTGTCTCTAATTTTTCACGAGGGCAGGTGTCTCAGGCCTACTGGGAGAAAAAGCCCTTCAAAGCTTTCGCCACAGCGGGTGTCTCGATTAAACTCGTCAACTCTACCACGGGACCTGGGGAGTATCTGCGCAACGCCCTGTGGCACACGGGGAACACCAAACACCAGGCATGAGTCAGACACTTATTGGCTAAATCACACACAATGTCTTGTTGGAACAGATAAACCGCCTCTAGACCGACCTCGAACACTGGCTCAGGAAACATCAGATACTCCTTTCCCCGCCTCCTCTGATATCTATCCGCGTGTGTCGGTTTCAGGTCAGAACTTTGTGGCACGATCCCAATGAAATTGGCTGGAAGGACTACACCGCGTACCGCATGCACCTCATCCACAGACCCAAGACTGGCTTCATCAGGTACAAGACCTTCATCCTTCAAGGGGTTGTATCTCCTCCTGGGAAGCTGAATTCATATTTTCATTTACGCTGTGATAAACCACAGCTGGATTTGTGCAGACGAACACCTACATCGGTGTTTCAGGAAGATGTTTATGCTGATGAGAGATGAGAGGAAAGAAAAGAAAAGTGTGAAGGGCCAACAGTTGTTGAAATGAAGAATAGAAATACTTTTGTTGCATTCTGGGTGGCTGACTGAATGTAAAAGCACTATGCGATAATTGAACGAGAGACTGAAACGAGGTTCTTGCTCTTTTGCTCGTGAAGGACGAACTTGCATTGATGTGTTGAATTGTTACTCTGCTGTAAGTGCTTTAAATATATCTCCATTTGACGTCATGTCCCTCTTTTTTGGAGCATCAAATCGTAAAATATGGACCGAAAATAAAAGGGCAAATAGGAAGCAGAGAGAATAGGAACGCACAGGGTGATGTTTTCTTTGGTGGGTTGCAGGGTGGTGGTGTACGAGGGCAGAGGGATTCTATCCGACTCGGGGGCCGTGTACGACCACACGCTGGCTGGAGGCCGACTGGGGCTCTTTGTCTTCTCTCAGGAACACGTCCTCTTCTCGGACCTCAGATATGAGTGCAGAGGTAAGAAATCCTGTCAGAACATCAACAGCGTGGAATGCTGATTATTAGTGTAAAAATACACCCATTACAGGGGAAATCATGCATTAATCCCGTTAAATAAAATACATATTAGCAGTAGGATTTTATAGGCAAGTTGATTGTTCTCTAATTCTTTCTTGTTTTGTGAAGTACTGGGTGGATTCAGCCCTCAGAAACAAATTTACTTAAATTATACAATATGGAACTGATTCAATAAACACCTTTTGGTCAAAATTTTAATTAACAATTTTAAGTTTATCGTTATCTCGAAAATACGGAGATATAACAGACATGATCAATAAAATTTAGAAAACCCACATATTAATGCTAAACTATTTGAACAAGAAATAAATAATAATAATACAGAAAATGTGATTTTGTGTTGAGAAGTGGGATAAAAAGTCAAATGTTGCCTCTGAAGTCTAAAGTGCTGCCATTATGTCCTCCAGCTTTTGAAAATATGATGTGTGACTTTATCTGTGACATGTTTTCCTTTATTTCCTCGTCAGATAACTGAACTATTTTTCTGGGATATTCAGGAAACGCTTCAACAACCCACCAGAGATCCACTCTCATTACAGGAATTCTTAATGCAACTTAGAGAAAGAGAAACCAGGTCACTATTGATACCACAAAGGCGAAGATTACCAGTTAGTGATCATCTATCTATCAGCTTTTTATTCGACTTATATTACTGTAAAACTCACACAGCATCTCTAATGATTGTAACTTCTCTTTACCTTCTATTATTTGATAATGGTTGTACATAATCATTCATGGCCAGATATAAAAGAGAGAGCTATATAAGTACAGTTCCAGTCAAGAGTTGAATTGAATAAGAAGCTGTGTCTTTTTTGACAGGTATTGTACCCGATGGCGTAAGAGGAGAAACACTGTGCAAATGTCTGGTATTAACTTATCAATAAAACCTTTTTTTCAATTGTCTTTCTTTGTTGTAGCTGCATTTCTTTCCATTTCAGATAATATTGTTGAGATGTGGTCTCCAGCATCCTCTAGTGGTAAAAGTAATAACTATAAATTATGAGTAAAAGAGAAGGCACTAAGCACACGTAGGCTATAGTGTGCATACAATTAATTGATTCGAACATATGGAAAATTACAGATGTAGCTATTGTCAAAAACAGTATACACAATTATAAATACACAATCACAGTAATAGATCCTTTTCCCGAGAAAAGAAAGTTGACCTAGAGTTGAGCCTCAGATTACATTTCTTTGTCACGACTCAAAACACTATCCTGTTCAACAGGTTGGAGAGGGAGAGCAGGAAGGAACACACACACACACACACACACACACACACACACACACACACACACCTGAAGTGGCGAATGGCCAACGTCACAGCCCGTTTCAACAAGTTGAAGAACGAGGAAGAGGTGTCCATCCACCGGGTGCGGAGGATTAGAAGTGATCGCCACCAAAAAAACCCCGCTCATTCTGACCCCTTATTGAGGCTGCTGTTGGTCGATAGACCCAGTGTCATTTCTTGGGGGGAGAAGGTGGGTGGGGAGCGCTGAAGTGGAGTGATGGTCCGCATCTGCAGCGACGGCTGGTGCGCCCTGTCGGTGGAGCGGCACCGGTCCACGCTGAATTTCGCGCTGCTGATCGCCGGTTACGTCCTCTACCTGCTGGCCGGCGCCGGCATCTTCTCCGCCATCGAGCGGCCCTACGAGCAGGATCTCCGGGACGAGCTGATGGCGACCCGGCGGGACTTCCTGAGCAACAACACCTGCGTGTCCGACGCGCGCCTGGAGGAGCTTCTGGCCCGCGCGCTCCAGGCCAGCAACTACGGGGTGAGCGTGCTGGGCAACAGCAGCCAGCGGAACTGGGACTTCGTGTCCTCCCTGTTCTTCACCAGCACCGTGCTGACCACGACAGGTGAGGGGTGGTCGTGGGAATAGGTTACCCTGTTTTGGATAATATCCATCTGTCTGATGCCCCCTCAAGCTTCCTTTTTGAAAGGCGGACCATAAATTAGTTGTGATGGCACAACAATCCTTCTTTGACCGAAGAATGTGGAAACGGGCGTTTATCAAACTCGGAACATACGTCATTGTGCACAGTGGCGTCTAAAGAGCCACAAGTAAATCACACGCAAAATACAGTACAATAGAGTGGATGGGGAGTCACACAGGCTTTAGACATTATCTTTTTGTAGTTTGCATCCTTATCAGTTTAGTAACACTGCACTTATACACCCATAATAAGTATGTGCACGTCTCAATTCTGTTAATAACTATTAGTTCTGGTTACACATGTTAGCGGATAAAATAACAAAAGACGGCGGAACATTGCTTCTTTATAAAGTTATGAGTAACCTTATAGAAAGCTCGTTGCACTATAAGTATGAACATCATAATGAAAGAGTCAAGGTCAAAACGTATGCAGAAAATAATTTGAGTTTTGATGCTTATTGACAAACCCCAAGCTCTATAATATATTTAGTTCTGATTAAAGAAGCAAATTAAAACCCACTGAATTGTTTTTATGGCATTTAGATTTAAGATCTATCCATAGTTGGAGGTTAGTTGTCTTTTACAATCACTAAAGTTGTTGCTAAATGAGCCTCTGTTTCTTTTTTACTGTATAATTATTGTTATATGTTAAGAGCCTCACAGGATGTCTGCTGGAGAAGAATCCCAACAGTAACCAAACCCCTGTAATTAAGGCATGTCTTGTTCTGTTTCCAGGTTATGGCCACTCGGTTCCCCTCTCAGACGAAGGAAAGGCCTTCTGCATCTTCTACTCCCTCTTCGGAATCCCAGTTACCCTCTTCTTCCTCACGGTCATCGTGCAGAGGATCATGGCCCTGGTGACCCGACGCCCGTTGTCTTATTTCCACCACCGATGGGCCATGTCTAAACCCAAGCTGGCTGCCATACACGCTACCTGCCTAACCGTCACCATGACCCTGCTAGTCCTCATCATCCCCGCGTGGATCTTAGTCAACCTGGAGAAGCAGTGGGATTTTCTGGGGTCTCTGTATTTCTGTTTCATCTCCCTGACAACCATTGGCCTCGGGGATTACGTCCCCGGAGAGACCCAGGGTGAAGAGGAGAACCGACACCCGCAGCTCTACAGGCTGGCGATTACAGGTGAGAAAAGGTTTCAGGTGTATTCAAGTATCATTTCACTTCCACACCTTGGAGAGAAGTGGTTCCCGCGACCTTTGTTGGAAAGTCTTCAAGCGGTGGGCCGTTCAAGCGTAGACGGATTTGCTTTTCTTGTAATGTTTCAACTGAATGACTTTAGAGGCCCGGGAGAAGAAAAAGTAAGTCAGTCTGTAGCCGTGCTCGCTGTGCGTTGAGCTAAAGGCTGACATCCGCATGCTACCAGGACACCAGCATGTCACAAACGGTTCATTGCCAAGCATGTTTGCACATACATAAGGAATTCTGATTGGTAATTGTTGCATGATAACAAACACAGTGAAATAGTAGGACATCATTTAAGGATGAAATATGAAAGTCTTGAATAGAATATGATAAAAGAATATATATGAATATACTTTTTAAGTATGTCAAAAATAACTATGCTATTAAAGTGTTAAACTGCTCATAATGGCAGTGCTATCGAGTTGGGGATCATCCGGTATTGTTTGGCACGTATTAATTTAGCATATTAGTAACAGAGGTAACATTTGCTAATTAGCCCTACACACAGCTGACACTGATAGGGATGTTGTTTGACTCCTAATCTGTGGACCCCCGCTGTTGATGAACATGTGATCCTTTAACTGAGATTTAAATATTTGTATGACAAAAATCAGAATGCAAGAATTCCGTACACATTGATAGTATGTTCATAGCAGGTTTATCACGTTTTCCAGGTTAAACAATGCGATGTCTGAAAGCCACTACGCCCTTTGTGTAATTACTAAACCTCGATTTGAAGTCACACTTCGTCATCCTTCCATTGTGTCTGTGTGTGTGTGTGTGTGTTTGCTCTCTCCCAGTCTACTTGCTGCTGGGCTTGATCTGCGTGCTGGTGGTGATGGAGACGTGTTACGAGCTTCCCCAGACGAGACGCCTCTCACAGAGGTTCTACAAAGAGAAAGTTCAGGAGCTCGACTCCGAGACCACCAACATCATCGACCGGGATCACCTGAGCGATGCCGCGGATCGCGTGGCGGGTCACCTACCGGTTATCCCTTCTGTCTCAGAACAGGCGGCGTCCCTTGGGCTGGACAACAAGCTGACGCCTTACGCCCCGGTGCCCGGATCTGCTGCCAAAAGCAAACTGAGTTGACAGATTGCCTGGAAAACATTGCATGTGTGGGAACTATGATCAAAATTGCGTCTGTTAAGGACACGCCTGCTTTGACCTCTAAATGTGTACATGTGTTTACGTGTGTGTGGTGTGTGTAAGCTGTGTCATATAATCACTTGAAAGAGGCTTTCTGCCATTGCCAACACCAACAGACATTCTTTGGTGCAACAGCAGGAACCACCCAGAGATTATCAGGACGGCATTGTTGTCTCGTTCTCCCGTGTAGCTCCAATTTGCCGCAGATAAGAACTCTATCTGCAACACGGAGGAAAAGGCTGGGCCCCCAAACGGAGGGAAACCCCACGAGGTTCCACTTCCTGCCAAAGCCTTGATGCCGTAATTCCAAAGCGGAACAGTTTTCCCCCGAGAGGATTTCGCACCCGTTCTTGTCACTTTATGTAATCTATGGTGGTATTTGCATGAGACATTTGCCTTTTTGTTGGAAGTAGTATAACAGCACCACGCGTACTAATCTGTTCGCCTACTGTACATTATACGATAGGATTCCTGTATATGGTAATTGCTGAATTGAATTGGGTGGACAAAATAATAGAATTCAATAATATTATTTACTATGGCTTTCTCAAAATATTTTGAAACAGAAACAGAAAAAAACGGCTGCATGAAAAGAAGATTTATTGCAGCTGTTATAGCAGACTGCATTTGTTTTAGCTGGCTGTAACAACTTGACATTATATTTCAACTAATCATATTGTGTGTGTGCCTTCTCACCACTAGAGGGAAGCACTTTCATCTTAAATACAAAAGAGTTTTTTTGTTACTGGGATTTTTGTTAGTGGGATGTTATCGCTCATGGTGCTCAGGAGAAAGTTGAAATCAAAATATAACAATGCATGAATGCGTCGCTGTCACAGCTGAGGCTGAGGAAGCATGCTGTTCTTTTCACTGTCATTTCTCTGCTTTTAATCAAGAACAAAACATTGTAGTAACAGTTTTTGATAAAATAAAATTCCTGTATAAAATGTTAATACATAATGCAACATTCAATAGTCAAACGATACGCGATTCAAACGTTTATGGAAACATGGGTTATTTTATTCATTTATACAGGGCAGTATTTTTTTTACATCATAACTCAAGACACATACATGCAGACTGGTATAGATAAGCACACACTCAACCTCCCATTCAAATTCAAACATACACGCTCACACATGAACCAAAAAAACGTCCTTCAACCAGAGAAGCAAAACTCACTGCCGAAAGAGTAGAGAAAGCATTTGCCCTTGACGTCCTTGAATCAGCTTAAATCAGCTGTGGTGCTGTTGATATGCAGCAGACGTTGACCTTTCGCCTTCCCCGAAATGCTGGAAAGTGTAAAGTTATCTAATTCACAAATTGGTAAAACACACTCACAAGCTCTCACTCCCCCACCGGTGCGTACGTCTGTGTGTTTTCTTTTATACGATCTGTTGCTTTTTGCAGTGGCGTGCCCAGAGAGGACGGAGGCTGAAGAGGAGGAGGATGAAGATCACTACTGCGCAGATGGAGACTATGGATACGTAGCCGGCGTGGGGCAGAGGGGGAGAGTCCGGGGCCTCAGCTGGAATCATGTTGGTCAGATTCAACATGTAGCCCAGCGTCCAGCCGGCATCACTGCCTTTTATCTGGACACAGGAAGTGGGGAAAACCATCAAAATGAGAATTGTCCTGTTATTTTTGCTGCTAATTTCAAACATACATGGTGTTCTACTGGCAACACGGACATAACATGTTTGTTATTTTAACTACCAATTCCTGTATATTTCTTATCACACAACTACACACAGTTGGTGCTGTGTTGCAGGCTGAAACTAGGCTACTCCTGTTCACATTCAGCTTTAGTTTAGCCTGAAATCATTTGACTTGAACCACTTGCTAATGTTGCTTCTGGTAAATTACTTCTATTTACATTGGTGGGAAAAACAATGTAAGTGTTTGGTTTCATATTGTGATTTCTTGCCAAGTAAGACACTGTCTTGCTCACATTATTTCCATGGACTAATAGCCTCAAAACAGTGTTAAAGAATTCCTCTTTATACAATGAGGGGAAGAAAAGCTTAAGTGAATACATTAAAACTCACGCTACTTTTCTTTGCATCTCCTGTTGATTGCTACTTTTAAGAAAGTTAAAAGGGCTTAGCTTGAAATTTAAGCAAATACTATACACAGAGCAGTGGCCACTGAACACATAGCTAAATACCATCAGGACGCTGTGTGTGTGGGATGGCTTCACAGGTAGAGCCGGCTGCCCATTAATCACAGAGATCCGCTTTTCCTTTTCTATCCGGTAGCAATCATTCATGGGGGGGGGGATTACAGCAGAGCCTCTCCCGCCCAATGTAATTGCGTAACCGTTTGCTATACTGGTCGAGACGAGTGTCTCCGACTGAACTGAGGAAGTGAGTATCGGGTGTCTTGTGATTGTTTGACGTTTTCTGGTTCAGGTTTTTTGTTGTTTGCTTTTTTGCTGACTGAGCCAACCCTCGATGGATGATTATGTTCATTCTCCTCAATGGAGCAATCCGTCTTAATCTTTTTAGCCCAGAGAAAGCTACAAATTCATGTTATAACGTTTATATGAAGTGAGAGGGGAGGAAAAAGAGTAACGTTGAGAGTGTCTGTGTTTTAACAGCTAAGAAGGTCCATTAGCTCTTCATAAATCAGCAGATGATTGGCTGACAAACAGGATGTTCATGCTCAAGGTGTGAGGGAGTGGACTGCGATCTACTGACCTTTTTAATAAAATTAATGTTGGAGTAGCTCTCTGAGGTGAAGTTGTATCCTTCTGTCAGCAGGGTGAGGATGTACGTGCCAGAGAAACAGTACTCAGCCAGATACTTCTCTTTTACGCCCGGGTGCTCCTGCACTATCTGCTCGAGCAGGTTGAAAGATGTCATTAAGCATTCGGAAGGACTTGAGAGAGGAAGGCAGATAACAATTTACAAAGATATTTGCTTTGTGTTTGAAAACTGAACCATAAATATGCCCCCCCACACACACCTGACTCCATGAGGTAGCGCAGTAGCGTTCAAGCTTTTTCCTGACATCTTCCAGAGGGACGGACGTATCAGTCAGATTGAGGAAGCTCGTCACAAAGTAGTAGGCAGAGAAAGCCTGCAGTGAGAGAGGAGAAGAGCTGAACCAACTGAAGCTCTCAGTTTATACAAATTCTATTCCCAAAGGGGGGGGGTTCTGGCCTCGTTGACTAAGATATTATTTATTGGGGTTTGAAGTAGCTGTCAAATCAACAACTCTGTTACTTTGGATAATTTGGTAACTCTGTTTGGAAGAGAGGAAGGAAGATTTTCCATCCAGGGAGGTACTGATTATTTAGTTGAAGTTGAAGTGATTAACACAAATTAAATGCCATTCACCTTGGGGTTGGGGCAGGAATCAATGCACATAATAATATAATTGATGAATAAAACTTTGGGCCTTTACCCCAAATGGCCCCTGCAAACTTGGCTGGTAGACCCCGTTGAATGAGCACTGGCTGTATTTGCAGTCAGTAAAGTTGAAGATGTTTTTAACAACGTCCTGGCATTGTTTGACGTTTCCTGTCCCAGTGTGAAGGAAGGTTGCAGGAGCTCCTTGTGGTTTCCGGTTTGACACGCAGGGGCTATCATAGAGGACAGAGTACTTCTTTGTCGTATTGTATCCAGGGTGTTGGCAAGGATCTTCTACTGCATTTGGACCTGACTAGAAGAGAAGAGAAGAGAGAAAGGTGTAAGAGATGCAGAGAGAAAGATAATTCAATTTGTGGCATGGATGAAGATAGTGGCTGAACAATACGATATGGAACTGTTAACCCACAAAATCAGAACCAAAGAGGAACAATGTCGTGACAAATGGGAGAAGTTCAACACATCAACGACAGTATAGGAGAAGACCACGTGAATGTATGTGTATATATGTACGTGTGTGTATGTATGTGTGTACCCTGTCTGTGTTAAAAATGCAAAAAGAAAGTGATAAAAAAAAAGAAAGCTAATTAAATTGAAGGGCCTTATTATTGACTATCACTCTAAAAGACGATTGAGTCTCAGATGATCACAGATTCTATTAGATTTTAAGAGTAATTTACTTGTGTCTGGTGCGCCAGCTTCAGTCTTTGTGCTTGGTCTTTCCCGTAACACAGGAAGCTGTGAGTATACAGTTCGTAGTCGTTTCCGTAAAGTCGGAAGTTGACGGCGTTGCTCGGTGACTCTGAACCGTCATACTGATCGGACACAAAACTAATCTGGGTGGAAGCCCCGCCAAGGTCAAGTGCGCCTGTGGTTTCCAAGCCCTGCAGCAGAGACAAAGAGACAAAAAGACGGTAACGTCAGTGGGTGACGCTGAAAGCACGTTTAAAAGTGACAAAAGACAAAACTGCGTGGACATGAGTGCCGACCTGGCTGAGACGGTCATCCAAGTAGTTGACTGTGACCCAGCCGAAGGCGCCCTCCTCCTGGCCGCTGAGTATTCTCGCTCCCTGATAGGAAAAGGGGGATTTTTGCAGCGCTTCCCCCACGGCCTCGAAGACCTTGTCTGACGCGGCGCTGTTCTCTATACTGCACACAACACACTTTAATTAGACCGATCCGCGCACATGATTCAGTGCAACGAAGCACCCCGTAAATAATGAACGGTTGCAGTTATATGTAATCGATCAGACAGTAACATATTCCTGCTACTCCCTCGTTCACGTGGAGATAAATCACAAAGCAGGCAGAAGGCTACACGCTGTAGCACTTGGACCGACATCACAAACGCAGTTACAGAGTGAAGGCGTGTGTGAGCATGAAAAGGCTTAATGTGTGGCTCATTTTGTGGGTGAATGTTTTATTGAGCATTATGGGGATGTGTGAGTGCGCGCTTGCCTTACTTTAGCAATCTCATTCCGGCAGTAGCCCCCAAATACAGGGGGGTCTCGGGGTGTCTTTTTACGGGCACCCACTGCTCAGCCTCCTTCATGCATGCTTTCAGAGACTCTCCTGCCTTCTGAGGAGCAGATGCATAGCTGGAGATACCGGGACCTGCAAGTTGAGCAAAACGTCAAGAGGTGGTTGAAGTCAAATGCAAAAGGCAGCAACCGTAAAAACCTCATTGGAGGCGTGCGTTCAGAGATCCTGGCTTGTGTAGTAAAGACATCTGTGCAAATCCATTAAAAAAGAAGCCGGGAATGACGTCATCAAGATGTCTGCTTCTCGGAAGCACGCTTCCTTCCCTTAAGTCGGTATTCAACGCCTAAAGTGTTTCATCTGAAGTTCCCAGTGGACTAAATTTTCAGCAAAGCGTATCCCGGATTAAATAACCGACGTTCATGTGCGCCGCCTCCCTATTTGTGTTAACCTCTTAGGTGATTCAGCGCCGTTGGCTTCTGTTAGTCTGACAAGTCACAAATCCCATGAAAAAACAAACAAACCCAGCAATGCTTTACTTTAGAACACAAAAGCTTCCTTCCTCCCCGACTCTGACGGAGAAACAGAGTTCCTAAGAGTCCGCCATCTGGTGTCAATGAAAGCGCTCCACTTTCAGCTTTAATGTGACGCCGATGTACATTACAGGAAGAGGGAGGGCAGCCCTCACCGAAAGTGCATGATAGAAAGTGGCAGTTAAATCAACAGAAATTAAGCTGTCAGTTTTGGACAGTTCTCTATTATATGTTGTGTATTTAACGCCGCTTTAATAGTTGATGGATATTTGGTTGCATGAGAAGGTTGTCATGAGGCTGAGGTCATCTAGCCACGCACTGTGACGCGTTTTGGGACGCATTTTCTCCTTCTATGTTTTGACTCTATTGTCGGCCGGTAACTAGCTCAGCTTACGGGATTGTTTTTCACCTTGAGTAACGAATGACTTTTGACACCGGTGCTTACTTAAATACTACCATTAGCATGCATTAGTGGTTGCGCACGTCAATGTGAGGGCAAAGTGTGTACGCGTGACGAGGCGTGACAACGTGCAGCACGCACCAATGACTTTGCAGGAATGCTTCTGCTCAACTCTTCCGGTGTTGTTATCCTTCTCAGCCGGCCACTCGTAGATGTACAAGGCTGTGTGGGAGGAACCGGCGTCCAGCACGATCCCATACTGGATTAGAGACAGAAAACAGTACAAACTCCACTTCAGTACTCAGTGACAGTTTACTATGGAGGGCTTCCATCCCGACACACACACTTAACAGCACAATGAATTTCCCTGAAACCTTCAAGGCAAGAGCATTTATCTTTGCGATTTATAGAAACGTTTTAGTGATGGAACTATCTAGTAAAACATAACTCTAGACACCGTTGTCAGGTGAATGTTTCTGGGCCTCATCTGTGACAAAAAGGAGTGTTGATTTACTACTCTTATAAACATCCACTGGCCTTGTTAGGTAGTGGTTTTCTAGAGCCAGTAGAACAGCTGAAGTTCACATCGACAGGAGACCATATTTGGCTTGTGGACATTGGACAAGGATCCAACAGTAATGCCGTGCGCTCTCACACAGGGAACAGGCTGCATCACTTTTTGTATTTTCCTCAAACATACCTTGTACTTTTGGGCGAGGGGCCTGTTCTGCAAAACTGCCACTATCACCAAGGCAACGATCACTATGACACCAATCACAGTGATGATGATGGCCACCGGCGAGTGCCAGGGGTTCTTCTCTTTCATCTCTGAGAGCGGGGGCGGACCGACAGACAGACAAACAGGAAGGAGAAGCCAGAGGGTTGCCGGAGGGGGGGGAGAAAGAGAAAGATGGGGACACATGGGAAAGAGGAATCGTGTTAGCAAATCTTGCATCCAGATGTGAGGGATACCACATCACGTGTATGTGTGTTTGTATATGTGAGAGAGAGCCAGTTGGGGAGTTTGCAAATGTGTTTAATTGTTTTGTTTTGTAACCAATAGCAGCAGATTAGATGCTCAGAACTATGCTACGCAAAAAGACTTCCCCTTGGAACATGATCAAAAGGGAAACATCTGTGTGGAAATAGCTGACGTGTTTATACAAAGCAATGCCGTACAATAAAAAAAAATGATTAGAGCAATAGCAATGACTCAATGTTGGACAACAATGAATGATTTCAACATCATTTTAATCCTAAATATATTTCATCGCTTTCTCTGCTTTGTTAGGTTTCCTTACAATGAAATTTGAAACCAACACACATAAATACACACAAATACATACACACAGTGATGGTAGTGTAGATTTTATCCACTTTTAAATTCCCTTTTACTGGAAAAGGGGACAAAAAAAGGGTGTAACGTTTTGTCTGTACAAGGCTTGGAAAAAAGTGATGAACAAGATACCGGCCTAAAATGCAAAGTAAACTTGTGCCCACTGACTCACATTGTTGTTTGATTATCTCAATCATATGTAAACTAGCACACACCAGCAAAATGCACGCGTAAGCTGGGAAAGTACACTCATTGTAGAAAATAAGCCAATTGTCGAGCACAGTACACATCTGATGCGGACATAGAAAGCCACAAACACACACACACACACACAGCAGCTCGGCAGCAGGAAACATTAAACCTGACCATTGTCTACTGTGGAAAAACACACAGAGACCATCATTTAGAGAGAGGCAGAGACATTAAAAGCAACGGTGAACGGCAAAGCAGAGTACTTACCTCTGTTGTCTGCTCCAATGAACTTACCACAGACAGCGCAGGGCGAGAGACACAGAGAGAGAGCGAGAGGGAGAGAGATTACGAACGTGGAAGGGGGAGGAGAGAATGTACAGCGGGGAGGGTGGACAACAGAATAATAAGATGAGTTTTTTTTGCAGTTGTGGCCTTTTTGTTGAGGCCGAGCCGAAGCACAGAGTTATGCCATTTCCTCCCCGAGCTGGGGCAGCAAAGCCGGTCACTATGGAGACACAGCGTGCGTGTGCGTGTGAACTCCTTTTAATGGACTGTCTCTCTCTCTCTTTCTCTGAACTAATGAGAGTCACTAAGCTGGCGCTACTCCCTCTCTCTCTCTCTCCCTCTCCCTCTCCCAGGTCATTCTTTGGGCTGGTAGGAGGGAGGGGAAGTGGGGACTCCCTTGTTTACCGTTTTTTATCACTGTGGAAGGCTGTGATGTCATCTGTGACGGATCGGAATCCCCTGCTTTTCTCTGAGACTGTGTGTGTGTGTGTGTTTTAAAAGAATAGAGATGCCGTTAAGCTGGTGTGTGCTTGTGAGTGTGAATCCACATGACTTGCCTGCAAATTTGTCGATCCATTCTGTTAATTCCCCTCATCTTGCCAGGCACACAGATACAGAAATATCCATGTTTAAAATAATTGACTCCTGCAAATTGTTATTTGCACCACTTTTGGTTCCCTTTCCTCTCGTTGAGAGAGTGCACGCAAAGCCTTCAGTGTTAAGGAAGGAAGCGCTCACACACACACACACACACACACCTACACACGCAACCACCACAAAGTATCCTGTCATTGTTTGGACACGGCGTTTCACTGAGCAAACAACCCGAAGTTCACAGCTATTTTACTTCTTCAAAAATATTGTCCCAGGACTCTTTAAACAGGATACAGTACGGGAGGCGAATCATATTCGCTGTGTATTCTGTGGATGACCATATTTCTGGCGGAGCTATTCTAGATATTTCCATGTCACAGAATTTGCAGGCCGGATTACTGTAAAGCAATTTACTCCTCAAATTGCACTCAAATAAAGTTATTTTCAGTGCAGAAAATAGTTTTGCTTCATTTACATGCAAATTTGAAATATTGATAGTGGATATCCTGAAGTAAACCCCTCAGTGTCCACCAAAAGCTCACACAACGATGGGAGTTCAAACTCTTGACTGCATGACGCATTTTGCTTCAAAGGGATTATGGGTTTCCTCAAAGGAATGCATCTGGATTGAAGCAAGAATGAAACCACATGTGACGAAACAAGGCTGTATATGCAGATATGTAGCCTTGTTTTCCAAAGTCTTCATATGCTTGGATTTAAATTGTCATTAAAACGTGTTTTCATTAATGTGGGAGAGCAGCTGTGATGTGGGGTAACAATAGGGACAGGGGGGCCCCCCCCCGGATTCCCCCGCCCGGCTTTTTTGTCCCCCCCCCCCCCCCCCCCCCCACCCAAAGTTGTAAACCTAGGATAAACACAGTTGGTGCCAATTAAAAAATACCCTGTTAGTTTGTGGAACTGGATTCTGTGAAGGAACAGGGAAGCTTCCGCCTTTATTTCCGGTCCATGTTTGAGAGGTGTTTAGAACGCGAAGGAACATTTGGTTTCCAGTCAAATTCCCTCTCTTAATTGCTTCCAGATTAAAGTAGACGACTGTACTGTTGGTGGCGCATTGTGTAACCACTTTGGTGATGAAGATGATGATATGTGGTAACTAACACATGTTGAGGCAGAAAACAGAGCTTTCCTAAGAAACGCATCAAACGTATGAGATCACAGAGGAATTCTCTTGTAATATCAACACTTACTCGACTGCAGGCTTTCAGCGCACAGAAACACACGTTTGTACAGTGCTGCTTGAAAATGTTCGAGCCCCCTGAGCAGCTTAGAGTTTTCTGATGTTTTCCCACGATTTTATCATCACCAGTTTTATCAATAATTACTCTTATAGAGGAAATTGTAAGTAAGTGTAAGTATCCAAAAAACTACATGAAACACGGAATTATAAGTGAACCCAGTGCTGCATTGGTAAAGTCAAGCAGGTTCAGGTAAAACACATTTGTGTGCCTAATTAGAGACGTCTTTAGGAAATGGTTTGGGAAACACCAAATAAAAGAGAGCGGAAAAACAACCAAACTACTTTTTAGTGCCAACGTGTACCCACGCAGATCAACAATACCGAGAGGAAAGGAGATATCCGGGGACATCAGGAAGGAGTTAGTGACAGGCCATCATTCTGGGGAACGAGCCCGTCCAAACGATTCCAGCTGCATCCATCCACTGTAAGACGAATCCTTTTACAGGTGGAGGGCGCTCAACATGACCTCAACTCTGCCTATAGAAGATGACGCCCATCAAGAAGATATCTCCAAGAAGCACCAGAAGAATAATAAATCAGGTAAAAGCTCGACAACACGCAGACATTTGGGCTGACACGGGTTTACGATCAAACAGAAGTGGAACAGACGTGACATTCATGGAAGGGGTTGCTTTGAGGGAAGCCTCTGCTCTCAAGAACGAACAAAGCTGCCCAGTTCAACTTTGCCACAGAGCACTCTGGAATAACCAGACGCGTCGTGGACGTCCGTTCTCTGCATACAAAGAAAAGAACCTTGCTGGCTGAGTTCTGCAAGGAGGAGCAAATCTCCTCAACAGCAGATGCAAGCGACTGCAGTGGTTACAGAAGACGTTTGGTTGACGTAATGGCTGCAAGCTGACTAAAATGGTTCACATGTCACATTTTCAGTTTTTGTGAGAAAAAAAACTTTTGTTGAATATATAATGAAAACACGGAATTTGTCTTTGTTTGTGTCCTTTTATTTGAATAAGTGAGGGGTTAGGGTTATAGTCTGGAGGGTTCATCGCCTGTTTTTATCATTACACATTGCCTAATCAACACCTAAAAAGTATGACTGGCATTCTAAAATGGAAGAGGATAATGTCGTTTTGAGGCAAGTAATCAAACCACAGAAGTTCAGAATTGTTGCGTTTCATTACAAATCAAGTTGTGGTCTAGATTGTATACGCTAATCAACGTTATAAAATGTAAGTTAATGGCATACAGATTTTAAAGTGTTGATAGCCATAGCCACCATCACATTTTAGCCAAAAGAGGATTTTTGTTCCTTTTCTGGTGGCCCAGGTCCGGATAAATGATGAGAACAATAAGGACTTAAATTTGTGTGGTAACGATTTACTAGAGATGTAATAATATTAACTAAATCTCAGCATTGCTAGAACTAATATGTCCCTGAAACACCTAAAACATTGATTAAAAAAAGGTTTCCCCATTATTTGAAACTGTTTTTCCATTTGCAACCAAATTGTAAAGTTATTAATCATGTGTAAAATCTGATGAAAAGCATCATGGAAAAACAACAGTTTTGAGAAATAGAAATAGAAAAAAATAACATTTGCTTAACTTTGCTTGCTAAGTGTATCTCTTTGGATCCTTTTTTTTACAAGTTATATGTAAATATTTAATTTAAGAGATTATTAACAAGCTTGGTAAAATGTTATCCAACTTTAAACCTTTCTTGCAAGGAAAGTTAGAAAGAAGAATGTTTGAGGTACATTACAGATTTAACATTACTTTCTGCCTTTAGAGGAAATTAGTTTATAGACGAGGAGCATTCAGATCATTCACCGACAAAAACAACCGTATCACATAAAATCCTACTCAAAGCACAAAGCCATTTGTATTGCCTGACATGCATTCTTCTTGCCTCAAGTTGGGTTTTTAATACCTAAACTTCAATTGAATCACTGACTAGATCAAAAACAGCACATGCACTCATTCAGCCCAAAGGAGTCCACAGTTCACAAGTTCAAACAGTGCAGCACATTAACTTTCTTATAAAAACCTGAGGCGTCACACACCCACATACATAAACAGGACACACATCCTCACAGCAAGTAGCACACAACTATATTCATACTGAGCGTTAGTAGAAGCCCTATATTTAAGTACTTGTACTTGGTCTGAAAAATAGTGGTTCCAGTGCATCACTAAACACACATGCATACATACTCACACAAATTAATTTATCTGCATATCCTCTGCCTCCAAAAGAAAAACGCATGCCCCGTTCCCACACCAATCACAAACCATTGTGCTTCTGAACATTGTGTCCTCGAGTTGTCACTAAGGCATCTCGCTTCAAGTTTTTTCCAATCAATCATGTAAAACTTTCGTTTGGAGAAAACAACACAAAGGTCTATTAATACACCAGTGCTGGCAGTTGTGAAACAGCACCGCCTGCTATAGGTGAAAAAGGAACCTCTTGCAGCGTCGTATGGTTAGAAATAACAGGAAGCATCTCCGGCCGCCACAGGGAAGTGGTCCATTCTCACTGGGCTCCAGTTGCCTAACTGTGCTGACAGGACAGACTGACTGACCCTGTCTGGTCTACCTTTGACCTCCAGCCGACCAAAGAAAACAATAATAATTATATATATATATATATATATATATATATATATATATATTTTGTTTTTTGTTTTGAACCACTAATAAAATGCCATATCCTTGCAATATAACGAGGTATAATAGAAAGAAAAGTAGCACATGAAATCCAAATGGCATTCAGTATATTTAGAATTTTCGTCTAAATGAGGAGCCAGGCGTCTGTGGTGTAACCAAACCTGTGCAAATGTGACTTTTGTATATAATTTTGTTTGAATTCTTTACAAGACTTGCTCTTGTTGTTGGACATTGGACTCAATAAAATTGGACCATACGTCAAACATATTTATCATCAAACTCATACCAACCCAAATTAAATTGATCAGATAAAGTTTTGCAATTTCCGTCACATGCCCTCTGCCCATAAATCTCAAGTGATTCTGTAAGCGTGCCAATGTTTATCCACACATTCACCTTAACCCCTGCCTCATCTCCCACACACACAGACACATGCACCTGCCCATGCTGCACAATCGGTCACTCGCTGTGGGAAAAGCACACGGACACGGCTGCTACGTGCAATACGGCAAGTCACACAGCTGGAAGAGGACACACACTCACCTGATACTTAACGTTTTCTGCACCGGCCTGTGGTAAACCCCGCTGCCAGATACACTATGAGGATGAGGACTTCCTTCCCATGTGTGTGCATGCATGTGTTTGTGTGTATCTGTGCATGTTTGCCAGTCACAGCAGTACACCTACCTCTTTGTCCAGACATGGGTTCCTTCTCAGCAGGAGCACAATGCTCTTCCTATTCTTTGCCCCCCTTCTGCCCCTCTCTATCTCTGCCTCTCTCTGTCTCTCTCCTCTCTGTCTCCCCCTCTCTCTCTCTCTCTCTCCTATACTCCTCTGTGGTAACGGAGCTCTCTGCTCAGTCTAACGTGTTTCAGCACCTCCTTTCACACACACTCGCTTTATTAGGGGAAGTAGAGGTTCCCTCCTCCCTCCTGCTCAGCCCAATCCCCTCCTTCCCAGCGCTTCAGCTTAGCATTCGCTTTCCCCTTCTCTCTTTCTCTCTCTCAGCACCTTTGTCATTCTCTTTTCCTCTTTTCCCATTTTGCTTTAACTGAGTCCTGCATTTCACCACTTTCTGCATTGCGCTGTTATTCAGTAACACTGTTGTCTCCTTCATCATTTTCCTTCTGCCTATCGTTCTCTTAGTCATTGCCTCTGTCTTGGAAAAATGGGTCAAACATGAAAGCAGTGTTATATCTGGATGGGAGCTGGCAGGATCGTGGAGGAAAAGCAGCTGGTGAACTTTGCTTTTTTCATTAATTCCCAGTCTTTTTTTATGGATGTAATCGTCACTCACTTGAAAGACGTTTGTCTCAAAATGACTCTGCTGAAATTTTTACCCGAAAATACAGAGCCTGTAACCTTAACTGTAAGAGGCGTACAGTGAAATTTCCTCAGTTCAGGAGAATAAGGAGACCTTGAGTCATGGGCCATGGCTTTGCCTCTACCTGTGTGTGGTGTCTTCGTCCCCCACTTTTCCGGAGGTGGATTACCAAAGCGGCATTTGTATTTTAAGCCCCGGTCCCAGGGGGGGGGGGGGGGTGGGGGGCAGGTTCAATTTGAAATTCCCACATCAGGCTGCTTTTTAACCACAACAATAAACCCCTACTGATTCACATAAGGGAGAAAATCTGCCACCGTCAGCAAGAAAGCGTTAATTTATGAGTGAGAATCAGTATGCACGGTAATGGGAATAAGTGTTATTGGAGCAATCGTTTGCTTATATTATTTTGCTTGGAGCTCTCGCAGTAATTTGCGCGGTGTTGAAGACAAACACACATTATTGCGATAACAGTAATCCCCATTTAATGATTCTCTAAATGAGATGCCGGGTGTTTCCTTCAAGACGGCACTCATTTTCTATCGTTCAGCTCGAATCTGCAGAAGCTCCATCAGCCTGTCACTAAGTATGAACATCATCATTAGCGATGGTAAATACGTATTTATCCAGTGAAGAGCACAGTTAGAGGGCACTGGAGGGAGGGGGGGGGTACTGCCTCTGCAACTTGTGCAAGGTTGGTCCATGTGCCCCTCTGCCCGGCCCAGGTTCATCTCCAGTGAGTCCAAGTGTCTCTTTATTGCTGACCTGGTTGGACCAAATTGATGAAAAAGGCCTGTTCGAGTAGCTCCTGTGTGTCCATCTAGTTGTTTAGAAGAAGAGTTACACATTTTGGAAATATGCTTAACCCCTTTCTTACTGATAGTCGGAGGAGAAGATCAATTCCCTGTTTAAATCTGTGCAGTGTGAAGACGGCAACCTGTTTAGTAATCTTGGCTGAAAATAAAGACGAGCACTTCATATCTTTTCATATCTTTCCACACAAAATACACAAAGTGCGAAAATGTCAAGTTGGATGACAAAAGGACGTATTGATTACTGTACAGTAATTTTGTTTTCACGTTACTATAACAACGTGGAATGGCAAAAAGAAAGCTGTGTATACTTATTTTCTGAAGAATCTCCACATGTTTGTTCCTTGTTATGTTTGGAATCTTGGCGCAAAAAAGGCAGATTTTACAACGAGTGTGTAAGAAATACTAACAACTGTAATGTTGGAGCTAATGATTAGAAGACCTTTTTACTGTTTGGCTAAAATAACCGGCTGCTGGCTGTGGTCTCATCTTTCCTCTACATAGGGGAGTTGGACCGGGCTTTACTTCTCTGGACAGGAAAGCGATAACACTATAAATATCAAACTGAAGCAAAAATAGAAAACACTGTGTGCTCTTGGTTGTGATTCAATATCCAGCATAGAACCTGTACCCACGTTCGTAGAGAGCAATTTCAATCTCATTTGTTTGTGCCCCTTCAGTCAACACAAAACCATCAGCACCAGCAAAAGCAACTCAACAAAAAGAGTGTATATGAAAGAACATCACTTCCTGAAGCCATTCCATAAAAGGTTTCTTTGAGGCCTTTTTACATGACGTTACATTGCTTTTATACAAACTGACTTACAATAAGTGCATTTCAACTATAAGGGTAGAAACCCAGAAGAACGAGAAACAAGAAAGTGCAGTTTCATCAAATAAGCCGATTTACAACTTGCTATAGACAAGAGTCTATTTAAGTGCAATTAAAGTGCTACATTTTGTTTTGTGTTTTTTAGTCAAGGTACAGTCTGAAGAGGGGTGTTTCAAAACGGATTGTCACATTTTACAAACAGCCTGCTGATACAACATCTAGCGGTTCCTTAGGGAGAAGATGGAAGCATAGTCAATCGGCATCATCACTGGAACGTGACAATCAATAAATCAAAGGTTGAGTAGTATGGCCTCTCCCTTGAGTGGCAAGAGCTGTTACTGGGGAGCTTTTTTTTTTTTTAAACGAAATGCAACTTCATGTTTAATGCATGTATATAATCTATGCTGCCCTCATGAAAATGATCCCAGAACATTACTCTGTGTTGTTTATTGTCGCACTCATTTCCTGCTGCACTGATGTTTCGCTGTGTGTTTTTTCATTAAAAATCATATGGTATATTTTCATACTAAACTGAATGATCCCCATGTCTGTTACTTGAAAGCACATCAAAGGTTCGATGGGTTGTAACGTGTATCCTCCTCAGTTGATTATCTAGGGTCCGGTTGTAGGGTTGAGTTTGTTAATCCTAAGATGAGGGAAACTCTGGCTTGTCTGTTTCAGAACGGGAGGTAACTAAAGCTCAGGCTCAGTCACCGTGGTAACAGAGCATGTGAACCGAACCTGGTCGGGAGCAGGTTTCTTTCACAGTCTCCTCCCTCTGACAGCAGCCCAGCCAAACACACAGCGCGCTTTCATTTCATCATTCATTCATTCAAGTACTCTGCATCAGGCCGATTTTAGCGCAGTTTCCACATATGAGCAAAATAAGATCTCTGTTACGTTAACGTGTTTTCTCGAACATGTCACGTCCTTTTCTGGACGATCCTGTTGATGAAGAAGCGGTTTTACTTCGCAGGGTGTTAAGCATTTCGGGAAAGAATATTGAGACCCCGATTAGATATATTGTCATTTCCAGATGACTACTTGTTTGAACGGTATTGTTTTTCTTCAAAGTCCATCAAATATGTACATAACCTCACCTGTCCTCATATAACTAACGTCACTCATCGTAGACATGCTCTCACGTACGAGCACATCCTTTGTGTAGTGTATTACTTTTTTTTGCAAACGGTATTTTCCTACAACGTTAGAATATTAGTAAAGCTGCTGTATGCAAACCAGTGAGACCATTAAAGAGAAGATCCACAGGATGCACCTGAATAAAACACATTATAGGTTCAATACCATTGTACCAGTTTTTACCAGCAATATTATTCTTGTGATTAAATATGAGCGTGGGTGTGTATTTCAAGCCTGTGTGTAGTGCATTCTAACAGAGTGTAAAAACTGGGAATTAGTAAAACGTATGGATTATGATTCGTGTGCACATTCAATATTAACTGACCATACTATATTGGAACTTACAGCAATTTTCTCCCACGCGGTTTTTCTGTCTTTTGCTGCAGTGTTGCTTTTTTTCTACACTTGCATTAATACTTCCAGCTCAAGTATACCGACCGATTGTTTGTGGTTGTTGGTGACTCGTAGTATCATGGCTCCATTCATGCTGCCTTCATACTGTGCTGGTGCACGCGCTCAACTCGGAGTCAACCTACTTTGAGTTGATTAAACCAACTCTAAACAGCTGTTCTGAAACCCAAAACTCCAGGTAAATCGACTCAGAGTTTAGGGTTTGAGTTTGTTGAACCTCCTACTTGGTTGGTCATGGTTGTTTGTGAAGCATCTTGGCTTTGACTGTGCGTTTGTTTCCTTCCTTTATAGGTCTCATCATGATTTTTTTGAGGTGGACAAACTTTCTCAAACATCTCTTGCTGACACTAACCAAACCAATATTATCAACGCTGTGTACAATATGTCTCAATGCAGCTCCTGTCACATCAGAGAAATGATAAATACTCTAGTCTGGGGCCTGGTTAACTAGTTTTTATGTGACTTTTCTTCTCTTTTTATGTCTTGTTTTTTTTATTGGGCTTCATTAAAGCACTATGTTTTATTATTTGGTGTCAAGCCAAGCAGTTGGTTAATCAGAGCTTCCTCTGTATTTCCTGCAAAAGACACTTGAAAATGTAATTAGCTTGATAAAACAAAGGACAAATACGATAACACCTGTAATGTGTTTTTGAGCACATTGCGCACCAGTAACATCCCAGTAAGAGCCACCTGATTGAATTATGGGAAGACTGTTTTAAGACTGGTAAGATACTAAGCTGTAATAAAAAAATAAATGTAAAAAGTCATTATGAAACCAGTGACTCAGAGATGTGAAGTAGACAACCGACAGACAGGATTTTTGGTTTCATTCTTGTGATGTTAATGGTTCAACTCCATCTCCTACCCTGTTCCTCTTCCTTTCCATCTTCCACAAGCAAAGTGAACATTACACGCTTGTGTAATATGCAATATTTAACGATCCAGACTTCTTCCTTCCTCTTTTTATTTACTTTCAAGGTTCTTTTCTTTATTGTCTTCAGGAGATGGTGAAAGGAATGTCAAGCTTGGGAAAAACTGACTGAACCGGTGAAAAGACTTTCATTGACGTACACATAGTGTGATAAGAAATGACTTTCCTAAGTCACACATGAAAGCCTTTCAGCAGAGGGGTCAGTGTGCAGGGCAGCCTGCCAATAAATGTCTCATGCACCATATTATAGTAGAAAGAAAATGGGAAGCCTTGTGAATGACAAAACATAATTAGGTGGCAGTAAATTCAAATAGTCACTTAGGGTTAATACATAATTCATATGACCTATTCACTCTTGCTAACCTCTTTTTTTTCCCCGCTGAGGAGTGTTACCATGGTGCCCGGTCGCTGAGGAAGTGGAAATTGTCAACAAAGAGGCTTTTTGTCACTTGAGTTTTTGTGACAAATGAGAAACATGATAGTTTGGCAGAAATAGCCCAGATATACTCCTTCCCGTGACTGGGGGGGGGTATAAAAAAAATGTAGATCAATACTCATTTATATTTGGGAGTAGGAAATCCATTCTCTTCTTGCTTTTGTCCATGTATCAGCCTGAAAGAGGAACTCGCTTGCCTTGTCTTCTACCGAAGTGTTTGCAGTTGCGTGGTATCAAACCCCCGTCAGTTCCTGTAAAAGCTGTAGATTAACACCATTTTTTTTTTGGTTGGAGGAAGGAAATCCATTTTTCTTCTTTCGTTTTTATGCATCATCAAACACGCCGAAAGAAGAACCTGCATTGTCTTGTAATGAAGTGTCTGCGGTTAGGTGCTTTCAAACCCTCATTAGTTCTCTGTAGAAACGTCATAGAGTTAAGTGGAAAACATTTTCTCCTGTGAATTTTGATGGATGTGAACTTGCTCATACGTGGAGAAGTTCTAGTGAGCTCGTGTCACAACTTCTAATTTCTGTATTTTCTGAGAATGTTCTTTCCAAGCAATGACAACATTAATCCATTGCTGCTCCAATGTCTGTAATTTGAGTCACATTTGACGTTGACATGCATTCATCTTTTATAGAGCAGCCTTTGCCTTTGTCTATACTACATTCACAGTCATGAGTCATTTCAGTCTATACCGAGACCACTGTGTGACATGATATTATCACCTCTCTCTCACGCTCTCTCTCTCCCTCTCTGGTAAAATGAGTATTGAACGTGTGAGCGTTTTTCTCAGAAACTACACAAGCTGAGATCTATCAGTCATAAGAAAGCACTCCTGCCCCTTGTCATGCCAACGAGTATCAGCTGGTTCACTACACACTGATATAAAAAAAAGGTGTCTCATTAGCAAGGTGTGCAACAAGAAACATGGTGAAACTCATGATGGATAAAAGCGAAGAGCTGTCGCAAGGCCTTTGCAACTGTATTGTTGCAAAACATACCGATGGCATTGGCAACTTCTGAAGGTTGCAGTACGCGTTGTTGGGGCCACAATCCAGAAAGTGGAAAGAAAATCATTTCACCATAAGCCGTTCATGACCAGGCGCGAGCGAGCTTCAGAAAGACCTTGAATTACCAAAATGTACCAGGAGGATGAAGATGAGTTTCAGAGAAGGATAAAGCTGCTGGAATGGCTACAGCCAATCAGCTGACTTGGATCCAAATGAAAAATCTATGGGAAGAACTGAAAGTCAGGGTTCATAGAAGAAGCAAGGTCAGTTTGTGTGGCAGAAAGGGCCAGACCCGCTGTATATATAAAATAAAAGAATACATGAGGTATGAGGTATACTGCTCCCTGTTGGCTTTAATTAGTACTCTCATGGTTCACTAAAACCTATTTAAATTTTAAGTGATTGTTGCAGAGTCTGCGAGAGGATGACGCATGAGCATTTTAGCAAAAAAACAAATGAAGTTGAAAGGAAGGAATACATTCCCAGTAATAGTCAGCTGCCTTATTACTGATGAACCGGTTTTTGCTTGCTCTTTATTGTTCCTACAATTCATACCAGTGTTCAGAAGATTCTTTCCTAATTAACTTTGTAATAGGCAACAAATGCAGTTCTCATTTTTATCTGAAGCGAACGTGAGGCTTCAGACATCTGAGTCAGACTAATCAAGAAGTATGTTTAAAGGTTACAAGCTTTTCAGTACATGTTCCGCTTTCGTTACTGTCCTCCCACCATACCACACCATGTATTTAAATTAGAATGAATTTGTTTCCTTACGCAGGTCAATTCTTCAAAATTGTATAAAATACAATTAATCTCCATTACTTTTTTAGACATACAATAAAAATTATTAAATTTGATGGCAAACTACAATGCTATTTTATTTTAGTGTTACATTTCAATGACATACTATGAATTTAGTGCAATAAGCTCTTTTTTAAATTATTTTAAATAAACCAAAGCTAAGACACCAGAGAAAAACCCAAAGCATTTTCAGATGAATTTAATACTGCAATTGCATTTGAAAGACATTGAGTATCCAAAATGGTTAGACCACCCACATAACAGAGGCAAAGAGCTGTAGGTTAAAGTGAGGATTCTCAATTCTCGCAACGAGGAAGGTATTGACTCAACATAAACCGACTGAATAGGTTGTTTGGTTAAGTTCCTCCTCCTGCTGCACCCCCACGGACAAGATAGCACACACACACTGCTGCTCACTCGCACAACTTCACAATGTTAGCACTTTGCCATGTAGTATTTACATGCAGCATTAACAAAATTCAACATTTTATTGAGGATTGAAGCAGAGCTGGGTCAAATCATTGCAAGTGTTTGGTTTAACGTTTGAGTACCAGATAGGGAGGGGTGGGGGGGTTCTGCCGTGGACAAAATGCAGAGAAAAGCAGTTTCACATTCAGAGGCTTTCTGATGAATTTCTCATCATTAGATCATTTTCAAATGAAACATTCTACTTTATTTTGAAATATGTGGGAGAAAAAAAACAAGCAAACTATATAAAGTCCCTAGACCTTGATAGTTTTGGGTGTTTTTTTGCTCTGGCATTAAGCAGGCACTGAACCACCTGCTGCATTAAGTGACGACACGTATCTTAGGATCACTCGCCTTTCACTGAGGGTCGTCTGCTTCTCCCAAGTAAATATGGCACTGATTTATGAAGTTATCTATAATACAAATAAAGCAAAAATATTCTTGAACATTGCAGGTTCTTGGTAAAAGGCTTAGTTTTGTGCTTTTTAATCTGCATTTATTTAGCAAAAATATTTTTTTGCTGTCTACAGACAAAAGGCAGACTGTTACATCCATGTTAAATGCAGTTGCATACCTCTTTTGTTGATGGTATTTAATGACTAGGATACTCCTAACTGTGCAGGTTCTGCCGGAATTCATGTTGGAAATCAACCTGTTTTGTCATCTTAGCCTCTGTTGCATAACTTTGTTCTTGGCATTATGGCTGTGATTCATTTTTTTCTGACAATATTTCCATTGGAAATGGGCATGTAGCTTAAATGTCGCCTCTAATCTCAGATAGAAGTCATCAATAAATGACAAAAACAAAAACAAAAAAAACATTCCGTTATTTTTCTCCAAACTCAAAATTGGAATGTCGTGGTCAATACATAAATACATTTACAATAACTGCAACTCTTAAAAGTATTACGTCGTCAATCCAAAATAGCACTTACATAAACATTTAAAATACAGTATTATACAACAAACTGAAAGAAAGAGACTTTGAAACAACACTTCATGACAAAACGAGTTAACTTACATGATGTGAAATATACATTATTAATCTAACTTTTTTTTCATTTACAATTTTCATCCACTGACATAGAATATATTACAGCGAGGATGGAGTTAATGGTAGGACAAGTGCATAGCAAAATAGATCATTTGACCAAGTTAAAGAAACACAATGAACTGACAAAGCAGCTTTAGAAAACAACATTAAAAACCATGTTTAAGGCAAATCTCATCATTTAAAATTGGCATAGTCTGAGAAAATGTCCACAAAGTCTTGTACCACCTTGTAGCAGAAGTCATATTGTTCCTGTGGAATAAACAACAGGTCAGGTGACAGTCTGTGAATCATCGTGTTATTAACATTTTTGAGGATCCGGTTAATACTTAGTGCTGATACTTACCACAGTTTGGACCATGTGGGGCCTCTGCATGCGTAAACTCTTCACAGTTTGGAACACGTCCAGCAGCCCTTCGGCCTTCACTCGCTCCAAGATATTGCTCAGTGCGATGAACGTACCTGTTCGCCCTGCACCAGCGCTGCAGCACACAAACACAAAACTCTTTGAAACTGATCCGAGCATTAGCAGCGCTTTGGAAACACATTTTAAGCCGTTATGTGCAAAACCAACACAACTTTAAGAAAGGCTCAGATGTGTGTGTGTGTGTGTGTGTGTGTGTTTTTTATACCTGCAGTGTACAACGATGGGGTGATTCCCAGACTGCTGCTGGTGTCTCTGCACCGAGGCGATGATGTCAATCATGCCTTTCCCCTCGGCCGGGATGCCGACCTCCGGCCAGCCGTGGAAGTGGAAGTGCCTGATCACCCTTGTCTGTTTCTCCTTTGAGAGGAAATGAAGAGTAATATGATTTAGTGGCTGCGCAGGAGAGCGTAATGCTAGATGCAATGAGGAAGTTGATTAAGTATGCGGCAGATTAGCGGTGAACAGAAGGGGGGAATGTACTATGGAACCTCAGAGTTGAGTTGGTCGAATTTAATGAAATATATATATATATATATATATATATATATATATATTACAGACAAGAAATCATGTCATTTTCAAAAGCTTTATGATCATTTTGTTAGGAAACATTGTACTAAACTAACTAACTAACTGTAGACGGGTGTTAAACTGAGCTTTACATTGATCACCTAAAGCAGTAAAATGAAAATTATGATCACCTAATTGTGTAATATAGATACTCACTTACTTTTGATAGTTTCGGCCATTTTTGCACTTTCACGTAAGATTTGGAATGATCTGAATATTTTTTACATTTTAGCAAATTTTATATACATTTTCTACCACTGGAACGAATTACAATAAGTAATAATGAGAAAAATAAAGTTTCAGAGACATTTATGATTTCATGTAGGACTACATTGCTTGTAAAATAACGAAAACATTTCAATGGAATTACAACAATAAATGTCAGGCAAACGCGTCACTGTCTGACTCAATAACTGCTGTGCGATAGTGAAAAGTTCATTTGCTTACCGGGGCAAAGGTGAGTACCAAGTCTCGTAGGCTGAATGTGTCACACAAGGTGTCTCCCTTCAACTCAACTGTGTAATTCCCGTAGGTGACAGAGTCCTCTGCTGGCCAGTATTGACAACATTTGTCCTGCGATAACAGACAAGGAACCCAGATACGTGTTTGTTCTCTGCTGCCAAGTTAAACACAAAGTTAAACTTAAAATATGGAATGTAAATAAATATATTAAATAAATGCATGCAAAAAGGAACTGATGATAAAAGTAACATTTTGTGAAAAAAGCAGGAACGCAGGTGTTTTGTTGCACTGCTGCTGTGCTGGTTAACTAGCTGTTGCTCACAGCTGGCTCGTGGCCGTCAGCCGTCCACGGCTTACCTGCTCCCTCTCCTGGAGCTCCGTGAGCATCACAATGGAGTGACATTTCCATTCCCACACCATTCTCCAGAAATCCTCCACTGTGTGTGTCAGAGGGCCCTGGCTGGCAATGTAGTAGTCCTTCTGCCTGTAGCCCTGAGTAAAACATGGCAACACAAACCTCCTCAGCCTTTGAAGCATAAGCGATGTGTTGAGGGTCAAAACCCACGAGCAGGTTGGAATGCAAGATGCGAGGCATCGGGTAATAAACATCTACTTACATCAATAAAAGATGCATTGACGTAATCGGTGAACTCCTGACCTCTTCTCATGGAGATAATTACTCTGTTAAAGTCATCTGAAATGGTAATGGAGGAGGAAACTCATCAAAATCATTTATAAACATGCTGTTCACAGTATCAAGTATACAAAGGTAACATTGACAGACAATATAATCTGGAGGTCAAAATCCGCCACCAGTTTACATGAAACAGGCGTCTGATTCATTGGTTTTCTTTTTTCTTACATGGAATAATTTGCAGAACTCGGTTCTTCTTCATGTTGGCAGGAAGGTTCCCCGTTCTCATGTTCTCCTTCATTATTCGCATGTTGGTCAGTTTCTGGGCAGAAATCGAGCAAACTAAATGTTACAAACACGTAGACAACCACAACCCTTGTGATGTAAACAAACTGCTCCTGGTATTTAAGCTTAAATGAGATCTTCTGAGGGAATGAAATAACAGATTGTACCCTAAATTCTTCCTCCAGGCCGACCCGGTCACCGGTGGTGAAGGTGTTGTGCAATTTTTGCAGATGTCCTTCCAGTGAGGACACGTCCAACTCCGTGTCTCCGTAGAGGTAGTATTCAAGCAGGGCCCGGTAGATGAAGGAGTACTGCATCTGAAGGTGGGAATACACAGACACTGATAAAAAACGCACACTACGCACAAGATCAATTCGAGAGATGATTGAGAAACAAACAACATGTTCGACTGTCGGATGATGAACGAGAAGGAACTCCCAACACACATCTGTCTGGACGAGCTGCGAGCGTTGCTCTCGAATCTTGGCGACGAACCCAAACACGTCAACTCTCTGCTCCGCGTGCATCATGTCGATCATGGCGTCGATTACGATGAAGGTCCCAGTCCTCCCGACACCGGCACTGCAGGGACACGAAGCCAACCACAATCCTCAGCGCCGCGAATCACGGTTTGTCCGCCAGCGGACGTTTAACTCCGTAGAGACAAATCGGACCATTGAAAATTGGGATGTTGAGGCGGTGACCCTCTCCTACCTGCAGTGGACCACGACGGGCCCGGCGAAGGGCGGGTTGACCAGCTTGACCTTTTTGAGGAACTTGAGCATGCCGATGGGGGAGAAAGGAACTCCGAAGTCGGGCCAGCTGGTAAAGTGGAGCTGGGTGACCAGTCTGGGAGTCTTGGCAGCGTCGGTGGCTTGCTGCACGGTGACAAAAGCGCAAAAGAGGGATTGAATTACACATAATGCGACACAAATTAACGCACACAACATGGTTCACAATCGGCAACTGCTGCATGAGCACCGCTTTAAACGCACGTGTTGTATGCAGAACTTGCGTATGGTGTAGTCCACGAGGACAGTGAAGTCCTCCACCGCCACCCTCACACTGCCGTAGCTCCAACAGCCCTGATCCGGCCAGTACTGGTAGCACTTGTCCTGGGGAGAGATGACAACCGCGAATCACTGCTAAAGTCCTCCTCGATAAACGGGTTGTTCTTCTGGAACGTACTCAAGGCTTTTTTCTTTCAAGCGGCAAAATGGCTCGAGTCAAATGCTTGACTTCACAAAACGTGAGCGTTGCTAAAAGGTAATTGCGCTTCAATTTCACAGACAGTCGGTCCAGATTAGTGCGGGTGGAGTCAATAGGAGTCCTCGCTGGGGGATGATGATACCGCCGTGGAGGACTTCATTACACGTTATGCAGTCATTGATTTCCACACGCTGATTTCAATTCCCACCAATTCTCTTCCTATTGATCTCTTTCTCCCTCTCACCTTGTTCAGAGACAGAGTTTTGGTAAATGCGGAGCAATTATAGCAGAGAAAACAGATGTCAGAGCTTACAGCTGTGAAAGGAATAGCACACTTCTTCTCCAATCTTTTGTGATGCTCCATTGACCCCTGGAGACCATCTGACTTTTGTATCATGTTCATGCAGATGAGAAATAAAGGCCAAATCACTCACTTCCTTTCTTTCTTTTAAGTTTGTCAGCATGACAACAGTCGCTACTTTCTGCTCCCACATCATCCTCCAGAAGTCTGCCACGGTTTCTTCTTTTGGCCCTGTGAGACGAAACGATGATGACACATGGTTCATTAAGAAATACAATTTATAATATACAAACATAAATTCCTTTTGGCAATGTATCTTACCTTGTGTTGCTATGAATTTGTTCTTTTCCGTGTAACCCTGTTGGGTGTGAATATCAAGTTAATTCAAACCGATTTACAACTTATTTGACACTTTAACCACGGTTTCCAAGGTCATGAATTCTTAGGACCTCCACTCTGCATCTATTACGGTGATATCGCGGGAACGCCTCGAGGGTATTTCGTCAAATTTAACTCAAACGACCACCTGGATACAGAGTTGAACCTATTAGTTTAGGAGGTCAAAGGTGAAGGTCACTGCGACCTCACGTCAAATTCTATTAAATCTCAGGAATGCTTTAAGCACATTTTGACCTGGACTGAATGAAAACCTGATTTGGGGGGATACAATAACTATGAAAACTTCACAATATTAATAAAAAATCAATTGTTAGGATAAAATGATAAAGGAGATATGGATGTAAACCGCATACTGGCTGGTTGGCAGAAGCTTTAAATTGCAAGGCAGTAATTGTATTTAAAAAAAAAAATTGAAATACATGTTTTTAACCAAATCTTATGAAACATATCACATTAACTGCCCTGAAAAAGCATAACCAGCTCATTCGAGATGAGATTGTTCCAAACCATCAAGCTGATTGTTACCATTTTAAAAAGGGACTTATGGTGTTGCAGAATGATGAAAAAGGCATAACTCACATCAATGTAAGACGCATTCACGTAGTCTGAACAGGGATTCCCATCCAGCTGAGTCAACACCACTCTTGAATGATCATCTGTTAGTTAAAATACCAAAACGAGGAAGTTTAGAGGGTTGAAGCAGAAAAACAACACACGCAGTATGTATCATTGCTAATAAACGCGATTACAGTTTACACATCATAGAGAGCAGTAAAGGAACAGCGCGACTTTCTAGCTGGGAGCTGGACAGAAAGATGCTCTCCCCGCCGGTCGCCTGGCAACTGCTTCTGGCAAATAGATGTCCGGCACGTAATTAGCCATTTATGGGAGGTTTTTGTTTCACCAGTAGCCCTTTTTTTTTGTTACACATTAATGTTATGTGTGCCATGCTGCTTTATGTGGTTAAAGAGTCATCTATACGGTTTACGGTTGTAACCACTAGTGAGAAGGTCAGTACGGTTCACCACCCCCAATAAATCTGGAGACCATTTCATACGGCAATAAGCTGCCAATTGTGGTATTAATCTTTTCATCCAATCCTTTTGAAGATCAGAATGCATGGGTAAGAAAAAAATAATCACACATGAATATTAATGAGGGAGAAGTGAGCTGCATAAAGAAAGACGGGTGAGGAAACGGGACTGAGGTGTTTGTTTTGTAAATGAATGCATGAGCTGTCGGCGGAAGATTTACTGAGACAAAGACTCATAATCACCAAAGACACATGCGCGCACACAGGCAGGAAACAGCCCTCGGTGTGATCTATAGGCCACAGAATAGAAAGTAAACTCACAAGGAAGGATGTTGGGATATCTGTTCTTCTCCTTGTTTTCGTCCTTGTTGGCCTCCTCATACGTCCCTTGGGCATTACCTCCTGGCAAGGACTGCAAGGCAGAATTACAGTTAAGTTCTACACAAACCTCCCGATCTGCCTTTTGTCTGCTTCACGACCCGGGCATTGTGATCCGCTGTAGGAGAGGCCCTGTGCAGCCTTGGTGTAGGCACTTCCTCTGCTACCTACACTAAACGGTCCTCTATTAAAAGAAGCTTCGACTTCCTCTCTGTGCTGAAAAACTGCTTCAATTTAGTGTTGAATCGAACCTTGAGTCATGTCTATTTTGATTCCCAAGCATAGCCACGACCAGCCAAAATGGTTGCATGCGTACGCTATGTGTCATGGACAATGTGACAAAAATAAGTTCCTGAATGGAAAAAAATCCATAAGTGTGGATCTTCTTCCGTCTCGTGAACACAAAGCGTATTACAGTTGAAGTGGGAAAACCCTTCAGTCTACTTTTAGATATTTTGTTGGTGTTTTTTAGGAGAGGACGCTTACGTTGTACTCCTCCCTGAAGAGCTTGCCGTCGTCAGCTGAGCGGAGCCTCTGCTCCTCCTCCAGGTGACCCACTGGGAGGGGGAAGTAGGTTTTGGAGGCTGAAGCGGATTGCGGCAGGAGCACCACCGTCTGTTGCTCTGTGAGGAGTAAAGTCAGTGGTTTTATTATCCCTACTGGTCTGATATACTTTAATACTTCAACAATGTATGTTGTGTTCAGGATTATATAAATTGATTTTAATCAGCAGTGATTGACGGCTCGGAGATGTTTATTCTAAAAAAGGATTGGGTTTCATAAGACCTGGTGGTTCCCAACCAGATGTACTTCTGTCAGACGACATCACTCACTGTTATCTAACATTATTAAATATTAAATATATATACTCCTTAACTCTGTGTACAGATATATACATTAAATCAAATCATGATTTAACTTAACTTAAGTTAACTTAACTTCAACTATCAACAGTACCGCTGGTTGGGAATCAGTGAATTAGATTATTGAATTATATTTACAAACAGCTCCAAATTGACCTAAAATGTCAAGTGTATGCTTGCAAACACCTCAAGGATTAAAAAGAAAAAGACAGAATGTGAGTATTCAATGATCACCAAACATTAACAGGAGTTAGAGAAACAAAGGACCCCTTTGGAAAAGCCACTCACAGCACCCAAACGCCCAAACCTTTGTAATGTAATCTGAGCGGTACTGAGAGGCATGTTAGTAACACAAGGGTTCTGATATCACCACCCTGCACTGTATGGCTGACCTGGTGGCACAGGGGTGTATAATGACTCAGTACTGTATCCAAACTCTAAAAGACAACACATATGCATCAGCACACAGTCACAAAGGCAAAAAGAACAACATTATTAACAACATCATCCTGATAACAATGAATGTGTTAAGCGTGCACCAGAATAAGACACCTCAGAGTAATTAGCAGCTCAGCTGATACCTCGATATTTGCTCCGTGCTTTGTTACTGCCGCGTCTGGGCGTTTGCAAGCAGTGTATCCTACTGGCATCCCTATCTGCAAGAATACAAACTGCTCTGCACTTTTCATTGTAATCAGATAAGAGAATACTGCCTAAAGAACACTTCAAATGTGTTGCTTCCTGTGAAGCCCAATAACTGTTAACATACTTTCCACTCGATCAGCTCTTTGTCAATGATGCAGCTCAAAACTTGAAAACTGAAGACTCAAATTGCATGCAGTGTCAAAATGTACACGAGACGTTCCTCATATGAACCACAGGAAGTACCGAACCACAATGCAATGGGGCACAACTTTAAATACATATAGTTTAGTGTCTTTTAACCCTCCTTCTGTATATTTCGGTCTGATGTTTCCGTCTCTCTCCTTAGCATTCCCACTGTGCTTCTTTTGACTGCCAGACTCTCGCGCTCACAAAACCATTATCTGTCTCGCTCCTTCTCAAAACGTCCAATTTACAACAACGTTACCTTGTTCCTCCAAGATGCCATTTGGTACCTTCTTGTCAACTGTTGTGACGGTTGCTTTTCTCTGTTTTTTTAACCTGCCAGAAAAAGAAATAGAACAAAATGAGATCAAGGTGAAATGAAGTGATACCGCGGTAAAGTCAAAAGTTATGTTTTAACTTAGAGCAATAAAACACTTGAAGATCTCTCAAATGATGCAGCCAGCTAGCCGTGAACAAAAGCCAATCCCAACCTACCATCCTAAACTTGAAAAGCTATTCTTTCTCATTAGCCAATGTCTCTGGAAAAACAGCTCTCTAGTCCAAATCTTGTAAAAAAACGCGTTCTTGCCGTTGCCCCGTTTAGGTCCGCTGCCTCAGCCCGCCTGCTCTCTTCTCTCTAAGCACGAGAAGGACTCAGCTAGCGGCACTTCCTGACTGGGCTCCGCCCAAAGTGACTAAAAGAGGAAGTGTTTGTCACCCTGGGCCCTGCCCCGCCGAGCTTGGATCACAGCCAGACGCCGAGGGCCCCGGGAAGGGGGATGAGGTCAGGTGATGTTCAGGGCGGGAGTCTTTTCCTAGGGCAGTCCCAGGCCTGCAGTGCGATGATGAGCAGCGCCAGGGACAGGACCACCACGGTGGGGAGGACGTGGTCGCCGCGGGCCGGAACTTTTTCTGAGAAAAGGGGGAGAAACCGAGCCGGGGGGGGGGAGCAGGGGGGGAGGGGGGGAGGGGGGGGGGGGGGGGGGGCGTTCAGGGAGCATCGTCGACAAAGAAGCAGGAAGAGGCCCGACGGTGTATGCGCACATGTTTCAGTGTGCATTACGGGGTTGTGCGTCAAACTGATAAAATCCATATTTGGCACATCTGTTGTTCTCCTCTGCTCGGAGGGCCTGATTTAATAACTGGCCCTCGGCAGTATTCTTTGACCGCAGCGATACGCATCGGCTCATTTGGTAGCGCGGGCATGTCCGTCTGACAGAGGGTGAGGAGACTCAGCCAAGAGTCACAGCCACACAGCCAACTATTAGTTGTGTTTACGAAGACGCACAATGAGCCATAAATTATAGTGCACAGCATGCTGAAGTTCATTGTGATCCAGTAATAACAAGGCTGTAGAAAAGGCTATTATCAAGGAGGACGACATGATAATCAAATCTGAGGGAAAGGTGATGACTTCGGTGGTTGGCAACAGGATTTTATTGCTATCTCAAAGTGTTAAATGTTGTTTAGTCTCACATGTCGAGGTGCGTCGCTCTTATTAATGCTCTTACCTTGTGTATGGTTGCCATTGCCAGTGGAATTGGATGTTGTTGTTGTTGCCACCAAAAACAGAAATGGGACCATTGTGGCTGCAGAAAACCCAAATGAAGGAGGATATTCAATTTAGTGCCAGACATGTCTGCAAAGTTCAAGACTCAAGCAAACACGGACGCTGGATTATATCACCATTTAAGGAACACATACGCTATTGACAGATCTGAGGCATATTTCTTTATTCATTACTGTTGCTTTCAGGAATGTGCTCATCGGTGCAAAGTTCATGGAGACACAATGGAACAACACGCTCACACATCCTGGCCATTCATAAGCTCACGGTGTAATGACAAACACGTCCACATGGAGGCACAACACTCCAATACTTGAACAACAAGGCGCCCGCGATAACGCCCTTAAGACCCATTGAGAAGAAAACGTACGAAGATAACATCAAGGCTAAACTCTATTTTTTTTACATTGCTAATTCATACTGATATTAAAGAAACAACAAGAGCATACATGTCGTTATTACCAATAGCCCATGTTTCCCTAATTCAGTGCAATGAGGTATTTGCTCATGTTTTAATCAGTGCAGTATTGATCAAAGAAACCTTCAGTGAATGCCACCATGATTAGTTAATGACCTGAAAACAACCTTCAGCTGTTTACAAGGCAATGCCAGGATGAAATATGTCATTTTCAGGATTTAAGTGTGCTTGAAATCAAAGCACACACACACACACACCCTAAAAGCATGTCAACAAGAAGCCTCTGCAAAATCTAAGGGGCATCTGGGCTGGAAGAGGCTTAACACCTACACCCTCACACTCCACTCCTTGCCACCTCCCCTCCTATTTGATAACCTCCCCCCAACACAAACACACATACACACGCCAACACCCACAAGCGCCGTCCAGAGCCCATAGACACAGTGACAGGAGTCTCAGCTGAACGACTCCAATCATTCCTTCATTTTCTCCCTTTAGGATAAAGAAGGACAAAGGAGCATCTCGGATCGATTCAGCATTCAGAATGGGTTTCACATCACATTGATTCACGCACCTCTTTTCTTTTGAAATCTGCTGGTAAGGTTTGAAAACCAATAAGCATTGAGATTTTTCTCAAGGTGTGTTTTTCCCCCCACAAAAGTTGGAATCCAAGCAATGCGCGTGAGCACAGAGCTGCTATCACCCTATAATGAAGCACGGCGGCGTGGGTTTTGTCTCCCCAAGGCTGCAGGAGTGTTTGTGTGTGTTGCTTTGCAGCTGCGGTGGAAAGAAAGCCCAGGCCAAGTGCATAGTCAATGAAGACACTGTGTGTTGAAGCCTCCACGCTGTGCCGCAGTGTCCTGTAATGTGTCCAGACAGGACACTGGCGGAATGTGGAGGCAGCAGAGGGGAGACGCTGAATGCAGCAGGGAGAGCGGGAGCAGAAGGTCCGGGTCAATAATATCTCCTGGAGCGATTAATAAACCCCGACGTGTCCCTCCGTTCCACGGGAAGACGGATGAGAGAATTCTAATGAGAGAGAGAGAGGAGAGGAGAGGAGCGGCGTGCTACCCTGCTTTCCTCCCTCTTTAAGTCCCCGTCTGCAAATGTCACAAGCCGAGATGAGGGGGAGGTTTTTGCGCTGAGTTAGTGTGTACACAGTGTGTGAATCCATGGGGCCGGACCTCTGTGTATAAGGTTTGAGGTTTTGCGATGTGGAAATTCACTCACGGTACCGTTTGGGACTTTCCACTAGAAAAGCTGCAGGGAATTTTATGTATGTCGGCTCTGTTAGTTCGTCGTGTGTAGGGCAGCCAGGAGGCTGCTCACAGCGAGGCCTATGGCTGTGTCTTGTGGTAAAGTGCTGCTGCTCCTCGTAAGCCTCCTTTTGCTCCCGGCTTCCTTTTTTCCTGCCTCAGTCACCTCTGGAGATGTCACCCCGCATGTCCCTCGGCGACCAAAGGCTGTTTCACCCACTGCTCTCCAGCTTTTCCCAGCTTGTCTTTGCAGTCCGTCTCCAGCCCGACCCCTTCAGCATCTCTGAGGAGAAGGACAGTTTCCTTTCCTCCTCCTTTGAGGGGGAATGTCCCATGAATAACTATAAATAACACTGGTTCCCATTCCTCGGGACATTTTATCAGGACTTCTCTTTTTGTCTTTGCTCGGCATAAACCAGTCAAGACCACAAAACTGAAATTAGACAATTAACATTAGTCATTTAGCTCGGGTCCGGCTCCAGGCAAATGGCTGTCATCACATTGTGTGTGCTCTCATTTGTGTATTGTCTTTTCTCCATTTGGCACACCGCAGCTACCCACCAACAATCATCCGACATGAAAATAGGTCATGGGAGATGTCAACTCTGGGGAAGTTCCAAGGCGGACAGATTTTTTGATAGGACGCATTTGCATGTATCCGTTTTCAATGAAATTAAGAGCACCAAAGGTGAAAAACAGGCATAAGACAAACAGTTTTTTCTTGCTGAAATGCAGTAGAGAGATGTAACTTATTGACTTTAAGGGGATTGTTTAATTGTTATCGAGTCATGTTTAACCTAATACTGTGCAGCGCATACAACAGACTTTAACACAGAAAAAACTCTATTTATATGGTTAAATAAAAAGATGCATGTTTTTTTCTGCATCCCTTTAAGAAAACATTACCACAAAAAAGGGAGTAAAGTGTATACATTCATTTTTGCACAACTTGTCTGCACGCGTTGTCTTGCCGCATGACACATCTAACACCTAGCCACCTTACATACTGTACGTGACGACAACTGTTATGCGCTGTGTGACTCACAGCTTGGTCTCCACTGATTACAATCTGCCACCTCTGAATACCAGAAATTCTGGCAGCACGGACACGTATATTATAATATCAGAATGCAACAGAAAACACAGGCTTTATTCCTTGATTCAGACATGAAGAAGGCCGAGTGGGAATTGAGACTCAACACATCTTGTGTTCTATTTAGTCCCAATCCAGAGGGTTGATAAACGTTCCTGCCTGACAGTATTTTGTTTGTGAGGATGAGCCTCTCCCCCCTGCGGTCTTCCTTGCTCCTTCATTCTTTCAGTCTGGATTATTAAAAAAAAGTGACATAATGATACCCTTGCAGATCTCCAATCTCGTCTGACTAATTAGCTCGTGAAATCTAACCACACCAAAATGACAAGAGGAATGTCCGTCTCTGACAGGAAACATGGGTGTTCCATTGCATTGGGTCGTCCCTGTCAGTTCTAATGAACGTGGTTTCTCTGTGCACAGTCACTCTGTCCATTCAAATACATCAGCCGGGGAATTTGGGAATTTGGGAAGGTGGGTGTTGGGCGTAAGGGCGATATGGACTTAGGACTGAAACCTGCAAGATGGTTCATTAGAGGTAAACCGAAGAGTACATCAAGTCGTGTGTGCGGTTCCTCACAGAATTAGATGAGAAGATCGATGCCACTCACCACTTCATCATCAAGCGAGAGCCAGGAGACAACTCTTAGATTGAGACTGGGATCAGGGTAAAACCGCTGGTATCCACATGTCAAAAACTATCTGCCGTGCGAGCTCCTGTTAACCCTATTTAAACCATAAATACTGAAAAAAGCAACAAGCTGCATCTAGATTTCAGTCTTTCTGCTAAGTAAGCTACAAGTCTACAAACTTGATTGAACCGGTCTGAGAGAGGTACCTATTTTCTTATGAAACTCTGGACAAGACAGACAGCCAACAAGTAACCAGAAAGAAAAAATATATATATATAAAATGAAGTTAAGTCTTATTTTGTAGGCACGCGTCGTGGTTGTTGTTGTTGTTGTTGTTGTTGATAAATATTACTTGCTGGTCAGCACCAATGCTATGTCAGCAGGACTCGTCTCTGGCTCTATTTCATTTGTAATTAACTACTTCTTTGCTTTCTCTTAGTCACCAGAGACCAAAATATAGTAGCAGTTATAGAAAAAAAAACAAGAGCTGATCAGTCTGATAGTGAGTAACGTTGCGGTTGGATGCTATATTATTTCTGTTTCCGTAAGAAAGAAACAGGTTTCAAATCTGATCTTAAATCTTTTGTTGCTATGGCAGAAAGTTTTGAAAAATGTATTTTGTACAAAAACAAAAAAAAAAAAGATTTAATGAATTACTTGAAGTCAAGATGCAGCAAAACCCATTTTAGGGGCTAAAAGTATCAAGATATCAGCCTCTACTGCATCAACTTCTACCATTTTTTAAATAATGTTTCATCCTCGAGTCCTCTAAAATGTCAAAAGCAAACCAGTAGATTTTGACCAGAGGACTGCAGGAAGTTTACATGTTCTTGTTTTCTATTTCGGTTGGTCGTCCTCATATCACAGCGTCTCTCGGTGCTCTCTGCCGTTGGGGAGCTGCAGCGCGTGCACCTCGGCCGGGTTAGCTATTTAAAGGACAGTGCACTACATTCACAACCGAGGAAACGGCGCGCTGGTGTCCATCTGCTGACACAGATGTGCGACCGCTCCCAAAGCAATGCAACCTAGTTGGACAAGGTGATCAGTTCTGCTTTTTCTAAATGCATCCAGTAATTACATAAAAAAAAATATAAAAAAATATGAAATATTAATCCCACTGTTCTTCATAATGTGATTATTATTATTAATATTATATATATATATATATATATATATATATATATATATATAATGTTATGATGCCAATGTGTCAATTGATTGAAAACTGTGTTAGAACTCCATTACAGGCGGTTTGTGGCCGAGGTTAAAGATTAAAGACATTAAACAAACCATTGCATTTTATTTTGCTCATATTCAATATGTTAAATAATAAAATACAATTTTCAGCATGCAGTTTGTAAGAAGTAATTGGTACCATTTAAGTTAAGAATGAGTTAGAATATCTATTAATCACTTCAAAATCCTTCCTTCATCTCAATTCCCCCTGCTAAAGATCATACCTAGATTCATAGAGAACACTATTACTATTAATATCAGAAATACTTGTCGCCATAGTGTCGCACTCTGCAGCATCTCACACTAGCGCTATCTATAGCTCCATTTCACAGTAACAACTCTGCGGCGTTGCTTCCTTGCATCTCGGCTCCTCCCCTCCTGCTCTTGTACTAGCATTTGCCATTAATCAATTCCTGCCTCCTTCCCAGGGCGGCCGAACGCTGTAGCAGTGGTAATGACCTTGGAGACCCGCAGGCGCCCGCTCTGCAGTGTCGGCCCTCCACCTCTGTGGGAACAAACTCGTCATGGAGACCCGAACTCAACGTAGGAGAAAATGCACGCGTGTGTGTATAAAGACTGGCGGGTGACAAACAAAAACAAAAAAAAGAACAGAAAAAATCAGGGAGAAAACATTCTTTAACCACTGCAGTGGCTGTGGTTGGTTGCCAGGTTGAGGCTAAAACATCCTGTTGACTGGGATACGGTGGCGCGGACACACTGTGTCTAACCCTGTAGGGTAGTTTCAGCCGCTACACCATTAGTTAAAAATAACATGGCGCCAGATGAGAAGCGATTATTAATAATCCTCTTATAAACATTCCCACCGCAACATTTCCTCATTCAACGTATAAGTTAATGTCTTTAGCGGTCAAAGCGTTTATAGGCTTCTATCACGTTCTGGTGAGGAATGTAAAACCGAGATTGGTAGTAAATATTCACTCCAGCCCACCGTCTACACAAACCAACGCCACGCATCAGCTCGGGCTTAGTCGACCCGTTCCAGTGTCATTCCGTCTGCGTGCCGAGCTATACACGCCTGCACAAGCATAGGTTTCCTTCCCAAATCTACCAACAGTTGGTATTGGCTGGCCAATTGGCGTGAAATCCACACACACACACACACACACACCAAATCCACCAACGCTTCAGCAGGGGATCCTCGGGAAACACATGCGCCGTGGCCTGTTTGAGGGCCACCGTGCCAGAAATCATTCCACTAGTAGTCCATCATGTGTGCAGGGGGGGAGGCAGAGCGTCTCATTATGTCCTCCACACCCCCTCACACCTCCAGACCTGACGGCATTGAAAAACCGAGGCATCCATCTTTCTCCCACCTTGACGGCCATTGGATTTAACCCCCCCGCTCCCTCCCCCTCTTCCCATCTGTCAATTATACAGACGCAGAGCAATTATGGCCTGGAACCAGAGCGGCCGGTAGCCGCGGTGCACCGCGCGGCAGCTGGACTGGAAAGGACGGCGCCGCCGCAGTGACACTTGTCATTATCACCTCTGAGGTTCTGAGGTTACCGGCACGGCGACCAGGTACTAGTGCGAGAGACGAAGAAGGAGGGATTGTGTGTCAGTGTGGTGATGTATGGGAAAGTCAATGCTTTGCGGTGGGGGACTAATGAGTTATTAGCTTATTGACAATGAGACAAGGGGCCTTTTGGTTGGTCTATGAGTATGTGTTGAATCTGCATTTTTCTCTTGTATTTGTCAAGGCGGGTGTTTCCTAGATACCTAGAAATTTGGAGTATGTAAGTTGATTACGGAAAGGACGCAAGAAAAAAACTAAAAAAGCTTTATTTTAAAAAGCAATCATCTCGGTTAAAGGTTCACTCTCTCCGCTCTCTAGTGATGAACGCCATGTTATCATCACAATCAGTCAATAAACACGCAGTCATTTCACTTTAAAGTACATTTATATCAGGACTCCTTATGCTTCATAACATTCTATGTAGGGGTTTGATTATACTATGTGGTTCCTTCAATTCAGAAACATAAGCCATTCAGGAACCACATCCTTCCTGGTTATACACTTACAATGGAAACAATAAACAAGACGATGACCGGTGGTCACATTATGGAGGAATCCCCTCCTTTAACTGACCATAAATCCATCCTAATGGTGAGTAAAAAGGATTAAACCGACTTGAGAGTTCTATGCTAAATAACAACAGCTGACTCAGAGAATGTAGAAAGAATCACAACCAACCACACTGCTTCCCCTGAGAATGTATGCTGATTTTAAATGTCATTTTATTCAAGCGTAGAAATAGAGAAATCCTGCGGGATGAAGAAACCTATTTCACTCAAATGAATCTGAATGAAACGCGGCGTCAGAGCCTGTAATGAAGACAATCCACAAAGCTTCTCTGCTGCCCTGAGATTTATTTTTCCTAAGTGATAAGATACTGGGGTTAAACAGATCTCCAGCACAGGGAGATCGAGAAGGGGGAGGGGGGGGTCTCAAGCCCCATTTTCAGACCGAGAGGAGACCGAAATAACGACAGTCTTTCAGGATGCGCGCAGAACCGACAAGCTCCATCCCTCAAAATATCCCTCCGTTCCCCGAGAAAACGACGGGAAGGGCAGCGGCGGTGGAAGAGGTGATGAGCGCTGCTGCCGGGAGAACAAAAAGCCCCTTGATTCTGAGGCGAGGAAAAGAGACCAGAAGGGATGAGTGAACTGCCCGCTCTGCAGGGAAAGAGCAAACCCGTCTGCTCTGACTATAAAACCCTCCAGTGACGCTGTAAAAAACAAAAAAGGAATGTGAGGACGTTTTTTTTCGACACGTCTCCACACTGCCTGCAGGAGAAGCAAGGTTTTATGGACAAACAGCTCCGGTTCTTTGGTAAAACAGCAGCATCACACTTCATTTAACAGAATTGGAATAAGAACCTTTAAATGCTTTTATAGACAAACAAAAGAAAAGTAGAAAAACAACTGGTATTTTCACGGCGTAGTCCAGATTTAAAGCACGCTGCAGCCTGCCTCATAGGAGTTATAGCACAGTAATTAGGTTACCAAAACTTTAACCCCAACACATTTTTCACAATCCTCTTCTGTAGGATCACGGACCAGACTGGGCCCATCATGAGCAGCAATTTGTTGATTACGGTTGTGTAACCCTGTTGTTTGGCTTTTGCCCGAATTCTATAGGAATATGAGTCACTCAGCGTGGCCTTGAGTCCCATAGTGAGCAGCATTGTCCTTCCTCCTAAGCAGCCCTGTTACATGAGAACGAACACACACACACACACACACAGACACACACACACACAAACACACGCACACACACACACACACAGACACACACAGACATTGAGAGCAATGATTATGTCAAAGGCCTCTTAGAGAACTCCCTGCCTTCTTGAGTAAGAGGAAGTGCAACATCCAGTCATGGCACGCCGCTGACAAAAGCTGTGCGAGACACGCAGGCACGCAGGGCTCGCAGTCCACAAGGGTCAAAATCTCAGCTCTTATTATACCTAAAACTAAACTGAAATGTACCACACCATTTTTGCTGGCCGATTGGGTTTAATGAAACGGTTATTTGAAGTATCTTTTTGTGCATCTCCTCATCAGATTACTTGCAGTTTGGGGAACGACAACCTGCCGATAGTCCAACAGCTTTGAGTTATTTTTCCCCAGAGGTGAATGAAAATTGAAGGTTGAATAGCAACAGGGGCCTGTACCATTGTCTAAGGAATAAGTATAATGACGAGAGTTGAGAGGGCAAATCAACCTTCCAGGAAGAAAACACACAAACATTTTAAAGATCACCTGAAACCACAAACTCTATAAGATTCTACTCTAAAAAGATTTAGGGATCTGGTTTGCGCTGTTAATAAAAGCTACTTTCTTATCTGTGCAATAAGACCGCATGCGTGCCCTGTGTGTATATTGCATACGTGTGTGTTTCTGCAGTGTAAGCACACGCTGTCCTCCATCTGCTGTTTGATAGAGACTGTTTCCTTTCCTGTGCAGCCAGCCAACCAGCCAGCCTTCCTGTACTGCTCTGCTCCAGAGCGGAAATGGGAACAAGACTGCCACGCACTCCTGACAAAAACCCTGGATAAGATACGTTCAGACAGATGGGAACAGACAATGACTTTGTCACCCATTTGAACACAACAACACAGTCTCCTCTCTTTTCTCTTTCCTTCCACCTTTTCTTCCGGCTATGTTTTCCCGTCTACTGTATTCGGCAGTGAACATGTGTGGTAACACCAGTTTGTGTATGAATACAAACCGCAGCGTTTCTTATTCCAAAAGGCTGCAGCATGCATGGTCACATTAAAGCCAGTTTCAATACTTTACATAACTGAGCAGTGTCGCTACGGTTTCAAACCACCGTCCAACTTCCTGTTTCTTGGTCCTGGTTACCAGTTGCCACAGACAACAAGCTCTACCCGAGTAGGCCAATTGAGGAAGTGACACAAACTTGTGATGAAAACGTCCAGCGACAAACAGCGCTGTGCAAATCAAAAGTAGCTGTGTGTGAAAATGTAACCTGCAAAAAAGACTTCGAGTGTGAAGTTAAAACAGCTCATAACAGCAGTAAATCACATTACATTGATGCCACCTTATGTACCGAGAGACCGCAGTGTGCTAAATCACCTGGATGAGTGTAGATTCAATGTATGCTGATTTTCCGATCCATAATAACGGCAGGTCACATGCTTCTGAAAGGGTCCAGCTGTCACATTGTCGACGTCTTCAGAGGGCGGTTGGACAGAAGCTGGAGGTGGGGGAGTGAAGTCCAGACGATCCGTGTGGCTCCAGGCGGCGGTGAGTTACGGGTCACAGCGCTTCACCTCCAGGGGATGCTGACCACCACCTTTAGAGAGAGCAAGAAGGAAAGGGAGCATGTTAGATAATAAAAAACACAGCTCGGCTGAGGAGGAGCTGGCTGGGGAGGGGGGGGGGGGGAGGAGTGGGGAGATGCAGTTCCTCTCTTGTAGGGAGAAACGGTATGAAGCAAGAGTAACGAGAGAGCAGTTAAGAGGGTGGCTTCCTCAAAGGATGAGTATGTGAAGTAGTAAAGATGCCCCTGAGGGTTTTCAAACACACCGCACACGAGTTAAACGTCAAACCTACTGATGCCATTAGGCTTTGATGGAAATGCACAAGAAAGTATGAAAATTACATCCGTCTCGGCCGAGGAATATTGAGGATGGCAAAAAGTTGAAGAAGGCGCCCAAGGGTGATATGCAGATGGTCAAAGAAATATAACCACGGTGAAGAAATTACTTTAAATTAGTCATGAGACTCAAATTAGTCGATTTTTTGAGGGGTAACATTTTACAGAGCGAATTAAGTCTTCCAAATGCAGCAGACAGCATCTCCTCGTCCACATCACATTTTATCCAGGCCAAACTCATTCGACAACAAAAAGGTCTCCCTGATATCTAAATCTACGGATGGCAAATATGTGCATGTGCATTTGGAGCTTTACGTAAAGCCTCTTTCTGTGTCATTTCAAACGTATTTATTTTAATCTCAGAGAGAGTTAGATTACACGTCAGTGGATCTTTTTTAGTTTTTATTACCATTTCATTTTTTTCCCTTTTCTTTTTTACAATACTAGTACATTTTGTGTATTAACTTTTGTAGAGATGGAAGCTTGGTGCCTTCTCATATATAATGCCTGCTTTTACTGACAGGAGGCTAAGAGCACAATTTATTTACAGTGGGTAAAAAATAATAATCAGGCAGCAGTTTCAATAGGGAATCAGTAGAGCTTTTTTACTTAGAAGGGGTTGATTACATTCTTGGAAATATGAAACCATTTCCCAAAACCACCAGAAATAAAACTTTCAAAATGCTCACGCTTTCTTTTCTCCGCTCTTGCAACTTTGACATTTTGAAAGTACAATGTTTTCACCTGCCAGAGGCAAGGAGCATGCTGAGTGGTTTCCATGGTGACCTTCTCGTCTAGCCGAGCAAAAGGGAGGTGTGGAGGAGGAGGGGGTTCTGTCCCAGTTTCCCTTTTTTTCTGGGATGTAACGACAAAATGAATGGAAACATCTCCTAAAGCCGTCCGTCCATGTACACCCCCTTTTCCCTTCAGGACCTCGATGAAAACAGGCAATCAACATTTGCTCCATGACATACTGGAAAATGAGTTTTAATGCTCGAGGATAGCCAAATAACGGCACAAGTAAAAAAAGAGTCTGTTCTCAGAACTCTGAATAGCGTAATAGAGAAAAAAAACATCATAATCATATCTGGAAATCTCACGTGCAATTTGGTTTTCAATTTACACCTTCCAGGTCCTGCAAAGTGGTGCGAGGGAGTGTTTTGAATCACATATCATCTCAAAATTCATGCATAAATAACACAAGGTCTGACTGTGTGGAATCAGATCAGACAAACTGCTGAATAATAGAAGAACCTCTCTGTAATGCATCGGGCCCCAGGAAAAACACGGCAATACATAAAAGCTGCTGACTGCAGGATTTGAGTCGGTGTATAAAGTTAGGCTGTTTCTCAGCGGCTACTGTAGAAAATGTACGAAGAGATAGCAGAGGGTCGGAAGAATGTAACACGGTTCAATATGCTCTCGCCGACTAACCGTGCGTCAGCAGGTGGTGCAATAAAGGTAGACTGACTCATTCCAACAACACCTTTTTCTTACATAGTTTCTCATGAACAAACACCTTTCATTATGTTTTCAGAGCTACAATAACACAACAGTGTTCATTTCAAGAAGATTCATGTCTAATTTGGCTTGTGAAATGACCAAAGTCATCCAAATGTGCTCAGGTATACTGCATAACTCACCGGTCTGTTCGGTTGTCTGTGTGAGAGTGTAGGAGCTCTGCATTTTTTCTGTTTATCGCTTGTCTGTGCTTCATCGGAGGGTGTAATGGAGTTTCCAACATGTGTTCTGCGTGTTTAATATTGACGGCAGCATAGAGTTCATAGACAGATGGACACCAATATGCATATACACACGCACACAGAGTCAACCACACAGCTCCTCCTGGGGCTGTGGTCCATCAGATTAGAACGTCCAACAGAGATCTCCGAGTGCACCGACACAAATCCATTTATAAAGATAAGCTTTGAGGGCAACTGCTGCCAAACACACAGCCAGAGAGAGAGAGAGAGAGAGAGAGACTTCACTCACTGAGGAGCCATCTGAGTTCCTATCAGGCTCCAGCATCAGTACAGCACAAGACTGTGCTTACAGAAGTCCTCTCTGACCTGCCATTGTGTGTCACTTCCAAAATCCCATGGCCCCCATGGCCCCCCCAATTATAATCCCTTCCCCGTCCCTTTATTGTCCGACACATTTTTCTTCTTTTTACTTGAACAATTTGAACAATTATTTAAATATATGTACAACGCCATCTGTGCTGAGAAGCTGCACTTAAATACCGCTCTGTAGCGGCAGTATAAAATGTGAAAGCATGACAGTTTTATAAATGCTGCACAATGGACAAAAATAAGCTATGCTATGCAGTAAAAACGGTGGTGTTAAATTTTGTACGATAAGGCTTTAATTATAATTGAGCAGCAGCAGCAGCAGCAGCAGCCCAGCACTTGCTTTACCATGTCAGTACCAGTGAGATATAAGAGTGACCGCAGTGTTGAAGCTCGTTGTGATTTATGGTGTTTACAGGAAAACCTGAAAGGTGCAAAATCAGCCCCAAGCCAAAAACTGCAGCAGAAGAAAACAATAATAATAATAATAGGTGCTGCATAGATGTGCCTCTATGATCTGATGTGAGTAGAGCAGTGGCCTCTGTGACCTGTCCACTGAATGCTCCACAGGGAGGGGACGGACAGAAACAAGCAGCAGAACGTTGTTAGCAGAGACTCCCTCTCCTATCTTGGCATCCAGGTTTGCTGAGCAACACAGAGTGGCCCTTTGCCAAAGCAAGCAGGACGTGAATGTGATAATATCATATAGCAACTCTCATGCACTTGGCAAACACTGTTATAATCACATTTCTGGAAATTTGCTCAAGGGGCAGGACTGGATTATATATTGATCCACTGTGGACTGGACAACCTATATGAATAGGGTCATTCATTCGGTGGGCAGTGAAATGAAATCCCTGATTTGATACTAACCTGTGGCTCTCTTGGATCAATAAGCAATAAAGTGATGGATTGCGCCTCTGTCAAGAATATAAAACATTGCTGCGTATGCTTAATATAATAACACAAAAAGGTAAATATAACTGTACTAAATACTAGCAAAACTAACAACCATTAGTGATATTTTTTTAATGATTTTTGCATGTTAAACATGCTAAACTAGGTTGGTGAACATGGCAAACATCCAACCTGCTAGAAATAAATATGACAGCATTGTCATAATGAGCATGTCGGCATGCTGACATTGGCATAAAATCGTAAAATCCATTTAGCAGCTGACTACACTAATTCCACTGTACTTCAATGCCGCACACTGAAAAGTCAGACAAAGTTGCCATTCATCTGGCGGTGTGCCGATAATGTGCGGATGAAGCACTAAACTGTTAAATCGTACTCATTTAGCCGCTCACTATTTATCCATTGTTTACTGGTTAGAGGAAATGTGCGCTACTCAAATTCATGCAACAAACCTACATGTTTAGGTTTAGGAAAATATTATGTTTTGGGTTCAAATAAAACCTTAGAAGGCAAACTTCTACCATGTGAAATGAGCCAATCACAGCACACTAGAGCGAAATCAGCCAATCACAGCACACTAGAGCGAAATCAGCCAATCACAGCACACTAGAGCGAAATCAGCCAATCACAGTACACTAGAGCAAAATGGGCCAATCACAGCACACTAGAGCGAAATTAACCAATCACAGCACACTAGAGCAAAATGAGCCAATCACAGCACACTAGAGCGAAATTAACCAATCACAGCACACTAGAGCAAAATGAGCCAATCACAGCACACTAGGACGAAATTAACCAATCACAGCACACTAGAGCGAAATGAGCCAATCACAGCACACTAGAGCAAAATCAGCCAATCACAGTACACTAGAGCAAAATGGGCCAATCACAGCACACTAGAGCGAAATGAGCCAATCACAGCACACTAGAGCGAAATGAGCCAATCACAGCACACTAGATCATTGATAAACAAAAGATATCACCTGTGAAAGTCCACCAGGTTTCCATTTTATTCCATTCTCCTACGCAGCATTTTTGTTAATGTTAATTTAAAACATTTTATGTTCTAAATCCCTAAATCCAGACATGACAGAGGAGACCATAAACAAATACTCTAGTGTATTTTGTAAAAACAGACATTAGTCAGCCTTCCGGCCCACAATCCGATACCATCCCCTCATTGGTGGTGTCTCTCATCCAGTCTTCCACATCCTCTACCAAAGTCTCTCCTCCCGGGCACCTTGGAGCAGCTCAGACAGAATGGGGTTAGAATTAAACAAGTCCCCAACTCAAAGATCCCCTGCAACACTTAAACTCCATGAACCCAACCATGTGAATATTCATTACAGAAAAATGGTGGTATTACACAACAGAGAGGGGGCAGATCCATCTAAAACCCCTTCTGTAATACACACGCACACACAAAGACACACATAGACTGACATTAATGGGCACGTAAGATACATGTGCACCCACACAAAGAGGAGGAGGGGGGGGGGGGGTGGACGCCTTGTGGATTTATCAACCTCTGTGTCTGTATATCTGGCTACAGCCCAAGGCTACTTGTCTTGTCTGTCTGCAAAAACCTTGTCTGGGAACAGAGATGTTTCGCACATTGGCGATAGAGCCACGAACGCCTCCGCTCCTCCGACACAGATCTGCCAAAAGTAAGAGCGAGAAATCAGACACAAAACCAGCTGTGAAGCAATA